AGCTTCCACTATTCCCTGTGTGAGGTCATTCCTTTTAACATAAATGTCCATTCTATTAATCAAAAACTTAATATAGAATAATATTATTTATAAATATAAATTTCATTGATTAAAAAAAGCTTTTAATAGATCGAGTCTGTATAAAATAAATTATAATTATTTTGAAACATTAATCATAGAGTATTAATGAGTTAAAGAAATGATTTTTTTTATCGACGGTGTGTTACGGAGTAACAGCTGATCTGTCCATACGAGCTTGGACCATGTGAAAAAGCAAGTAGATTCACATACAAAACTATATGGCAATTGACTTATATGGTCTCCCCACCCTAAGCAAGCATAGACATCGAATCTGATCGAAAGCACGTGATCAAGAATTCCCACCGAGCCTAGGAATCCCACTATGGTGGGAAATATTCCCACCTTGATGGGACGATGGAGGGCAGTGGGATGCATAGTACGAAGGTCTATATAACTGGAAAGAGTTTCCTTATTGTAGAGCTTCGTGCTCAAGATCAATCATTTAGTATACTCTACTATTAGTTACGAATTGTATTATTGTCATTACTTAAGTCCTTGTTTGACGCCTAGTTATAAACCATTTCGAGAGCCTAGAGCACTTCCACGTGATCTAGACGGCAAACCTCGTAACATAGATTTCCTTTAGATTTATTTTGAGATTTAATCAAAAAATAACTTAAAATAATAAGAACGTTAATCAATAGGAATTTATTTTAAATTTTAACAAATTTTAATTCTATAAAAGTCTCTCTTGCACTTCAGTCTAGAGACAAAAACCCCCATTACAAACTCTAATTCTCATCTCCCTCTCCTCCCTCCTCCCACCACCCCACCCCGAAATGAGAGACATGATGCAATCACACATATTTCGAAAGCCGAGTCTTACAAATACGGGACTCGGATACGGGAAAGCAGTCTTCCTTGTAGATCTAGAAAGATACAGTTTGGATGAGTTATATATATATAAATAGGTATATAGAAGCAAAAGTAGGCCTTTATTCTATTAACAACTTCAAGCTCTACATTGAGGGAAATAAGAAAAATGGATTTGAGGTAGTTAATCCATATATTTTGGAGGTTGGATACGCGACGCCAATGGTTTGAGAGTAGATTTTGCCCAGTCACATAGTGAATGGCTTTGGGTTTGGTTTGGAATTGGGTTTCCATATTAGGATAATATGCCAGTGGAATATTCATATAGTTTGGAGAATCCATATGGTTTGGGACCATCCAAAGATATGAAGTGTTGTATATATGATCTACAGCTACCCACTCGGGACTGTAGGACAAACTCATCCAAAAGCTGAAACAGAAGCCAAGTACTAACACAAGAACCAATCCCTTTATATTAATTCCCAAACAGCTATTTCGCTCTAACATGTACATTTCGCCTGTAATATTTTATCATATTCCAGTATCAGAATCCACAGACTCGTAGGATCCTCTATTAAACTTGAAAGTATCACATAGTCCAAAAGTGAAATGATTAAAAATCAAAAGATTCATAAAGATAATAGACCTATGTAGAAAACAGGAAGTTGGGGATATATCTTTAATAAAATGATGAGAATAGAGAATGAAGATAATGGGAAAGACATGAAAGGTGTAATGGTTAGAAAGAAGGTTGTAAGTTAGAAGAATCCGGTTAAGTCAGAGGAGTCGGTTAAGTCAAAAGAATTCGGTTAGGTCGGAATAATTAGGTTCAGTCGGAAGGAGCGGGATTATACAAGTTGTCCTCGTTAGTTCGGAGGGTAAGAATGAACGGTGAGTATGAGGATGATGAGATGGTGGTGCGGGGTAAGTCAAACATTTGAGTTTCCGATCATTATTATGTTATAAATTACACTTTTGAACATCTTTAATCTTTTTACACTTGGATACAATTTACTTGAATCTCAATGTTACGAGGTTTGCCGTCTAGATCATGTGAAAGTGCTCTAGGCTCTCGAAGTGGTTTATAACTAGACGTCAAACAGGGATTTAAGTAATGACAATAATAATATACAATTCATAACTAATAATAGAGTATACTAAATGATTGATCTTGAGCACGAAGCTTTATACAAAGGAAATCCATCTTGATTATATAGACCTTCGTACCTCCTTAAAAACCGATGGCTATAAGCCCGACAATTCGATCACCGCAAAGCCGATCTCGATTTGTCGGTTTCTTGATCATGTGATCAAGAACGTGACCTGTGTTACTGTCCGACGTAACATACTAGCGAGTTCTAGCCTCTTTTATTATATATAAATAGTCTTTATATCTCATAATATAAAAGACAAGAATAAATACCACCATAATATAATATTACTAAGCGAATAATATCATGTTACGATAGTAACAACTGACTAATTAGGAGAGCTTGGGCCTTGTGCAAAAGCGATCAGATTTCATCGAATTAATATGTGATCTGGGCCACCTTAAGATCGTATGTGCACGCACTGTCAGAAAGCACGTGACTTGGAGCTTTTGGAGCTTGAGGATCCAAAAGGATCCAAGGGAGCATGAATATCTATATAACCAAGATGGATTCCCTTTGTATAGAGCTTCGTGCCCAAGATCAATCATTTAGTATACTCTACTATTAGTTACGAATTGCATTATTGTCTACACTGTCCACTTCTTTCTACTAGTGTGGAGTAGTAATCCTGTCTTGGTATCAAGGCAGAACCAATCATGCGGAGGAGTTCCTCGATCAACAAAGCCCCAGCTCACCCCAATTATCCATCATATTCAAAGCTTCTCTTTCCATCAATCCCCCAATATAAGCTTCTCCAAAAAAACTTCAAATACATCCTTCTCTCCTCCTTCACAATATATGGAGTACGACCCCCCTTCAAAATCACAACTTTATGTCCAATCCGTACATCGCACGCAAATAACCCCATATAACCTTTATCGGTAGTAAAGAATCTCCTTTTATACGCAGCTCCAATTTGCGCTTCTAGGTTATTACTTACTCGAGAGTTGTATATCTGATAGTTTCTTACCATTCATTGGGCACTTATTCCACGAATCGTCAGCGCTTCTGTGCTGTTACCAAGTATGATTTTCTTCACGCCTCGTATGCTCCACTTGCAGTAACACAATGAATTCCATCCGACTCGGCAAATCGGACTCCAGCTACTAATGTAGAAGCGTATACATCCATTACATCTTCACCGGTAGGATAAGATTTGAATTTCGCAGCCATATGCTCCCACTGTCCCACGAGAAGCTTCATACAGGAATCGGAAGCTCCTTGCCACTTTCCCAGTCCCTCACGCATCAGCGATCTATGACTAGGTATGAATTCTATAAATGAATTTCCCACATACATAAACTCTATCGAAAATTCTTCAACTCGCGTGACAAACTAGATCATCACTTGAGAATCGACAGACAGGAGCAGCGATTCCTCCAGCTTGCAATGCAAGCCTTGCATTTGCGTGAATCGAGGATGTAGAGCAAATAAGTTGCTCGTGGATGGATCTTCCAATCGGGACCCATGATGGTAGGAGGCGTTTGATTCGTGTGCTGTTGAGTCTAACATGACTTAGTATTTCGAGGCTGTGATGCTGTTGGATAATGGACATGGTTAGATTGGTATAGACTTCATTAACACACTTTTCATAATCTGACTGGATACGGAACGAGTCGTTTTTCAGAGGAAAATACCAAGAAGGCCATATATCTTATCTTGATCAAGTGTTGAATAATTCTTTCCCCTAAGGGCTATTATGTCAATAGCAACTTGAGTGTTTGACTCTGAAAATCTAGTGAGAATTTCATTATGTTAAACACTCGGCTGAGGTCGCTTTTAGTGATTGATGTTATAGAATGATCCATGATAAATCTAGCCACCAGGCCAAAGTCTCCCCGTTTACACATATCATCTCCGCATAATATCAAAGCAGTTTTGGCGACACTTATTTCCTGGATGATCCAGACGCGAGTAAACCAATCTCTCCAGAATAAAGAGTCTAGGGCCTCCCAACAGGAATCGGAATGTATTGATTAACAAACATCAATGAGATTTTGTGTTGTAAAAACGTCTTTAGATTGACTATCAGGTGACTCCATAGAAACCTTTTGGATCTGGGTAATAAGATCAAAAGCATCTGAGCTATCCTTAGTGTTGGGTTTCTTAAGACCAGAAAGAGTATCAGATTGAATTTTATTTTCTAGCTAAGCAGTTAAGCTGCGAGCATATATTCAAAAAATGAAGGAATAGGTTGGGTATTCGGCCTTCGGAATTAAAGTGCTTTGAAATCAAAATATTGAAAGCAAACAAACAGTATACCAAAAAGGAAAGAATGAATTAAAAGTTGAGTTTTGTTTGCTCCTTATATGCATATGCTGCCAAGATCCCAGGAGGTCAACACTTAGACAGTTCACCCAACCATATAATAACCTCACTTGCTAGACTATAAAGATCTTTCATTAATAAAACTTGATTTTCTTCTCTTCATTATCTGTCTAACAAATGCAAATCGCATCGATCCATAAGAATTGAGGTTGTAACTTATAGCGAAAACGTTGGAGGGTCAAGCAAGCGCTCTCTTGTATCTTTAATGATGCACCGTCACATTCAATTTGATGTAGTACTGGCGGGCCCCATGTATAGGATGATGCTTTGTATGGTATAGATGAGCGTATATCCGGAATACTTTGTGCTCAACCCCAGCACAATGAATGGGTTTTGGTATAATTAGCACACGAATTCGATCAAAAACCAACATTTCCGCAGCGTATTTGAGCAACATGCCTAGCTAGAATCTTGTAGAAGTCATCTACTCCATCTATTCCATCTCGGAAACGATAATAAATTCAACTCGTAATCAAAAAAGTTTCAACTCCATACCCACTCAGGCAGTTCTTGTGAAAGACCTTCTCACTTATCCTATTTCATTACTTGGGATGAATCCTTAACAGCAAGCTAATATTTCAGCTATCAAATCTCGATTTAAACAGGAAAAGGTAAGGAAGATGGGGAGAAGAAAAAAAGAAGAGAAATAATTAACCTATTCTTGATATATACACGAGTTTCATTGTATTCGATTGGATACCGTAGGTTATGCATGAACTTTCACGAAATCCATCCAGGGTATGCCCCACTTGGCAGCAACATCCTGATTCCTCATGAATCCAATTAGACGAGTCTAATAAAGTGACGCCGTGAATACTTCTCTAGACAGAGGAACAATTCAAACCGTGCTAGAGTAAAATGCATAATACATATACTTCCTCAGGTAGGGAGGTCGAAGTAGGAGCGATCATGGGGTGGCTAATCCTCATTTAGTAATCAAGTAGTATATATACCTAGTAAAGCTATGTTTTATAAGTGCGAATACTGTTGAGAGGATAACACCCGTTGAAGGAACTCCATGACATGCTTTGAAAGACTTGATGATAATGTTGCTTGATTTTGTGCGAGGATCAAGGGTCGCTGTTCAAAAGTACTCCTATTGGTATATATGTAATTCATGAGCCGATTCTGCCAACCAGCCATTTTCATCTAACGGCCGTGCCATATTATACTCTAAATACTTATCATGATTCCCAAATCCTACCATGAACGCCCTGCCAATGCTTGCCTGCTTTAAACCTCCAAACATCAAAGAGACATTTTAATACAGTATAGCAACCCTTACCACTCCCGTTCTTGTTGACCATCTCCCGATTTTATTTTTATTCAACCCATACCAACATATTTGAACCAATTCGCCCTGCAATCCTCCTTATGTAGCCAAGCTTCTCCATCTGTGAAACGTCCCGCCTGGCAACCTTTGCATTTTGGAGAGTTAGGGCAGTTGAAGTAGGGGATGTGCTGATAACCGATATCACGGAACCTTTGGAAGAGATTAGCTACAGATATAAATTTTGCAAAAAAGTCTCAAAACTTACCAATGAATCTTGCTTGAATCTTCAAAAAGTGCTAGTGCTATACTATGAACCGGCGCATCTCCCCATCGCTCGTAGAAGAAGCCTCCAGCACGGTCTAAGTGATTGAAATAATCCTCATATGCTTGACTACGCCAGAAATCCATGTTACCAATTTCGAAGTTACTCCAGAAATGGCATGTGGAGTAGCCGTTCGCTTTCTGATTATGTTCGGGTCTTCGCGCACTGTCGGTGATCCAATTCATCGCATTATTGTCGTGGATGTACTCCGGATGTGCAGCTAAGAATTTCGTCGTTTCGGGCCACAAGGTTGGAATCGATTGAGGTGCATCGTAAAGATTGATAGTAAACCCGTAGGTTTTATTCTGATCCTGCATATATCTGAAAACATCATAGTCGACATCGCAGAAGAAATGGACCTTTGGTTCGACACGCCAGTAAAATTGCATATTTGCCATGGCTGGATGTTTGTAAAATAAGCCACTATTCCATCGACACATTTGGTGGTACGATGCCATGCTGGCATATTGGATGTCGTTCTCCTTTAATATCTTTGCTGATTCATCAAAAAGCTCTTTATCGATCCATGAGGGAATCTCCCAATGTTCTTTCGGGATCAATTCTGCCAGGATTGTTAGAGTTGCCAGGTTGTCATCACAGGTGAAGCTTCGTACCATATTTGCATTCTGCCTTCGTTTCTGCAGAAGTTCGACGTTTAAATTCCTCTGTGAATGGCACATCATTGAAGAACGTCCACGGATAATTGAACTTATGATTCCATGTTCTCTCCAGATCTTGCATAGCTTGAACCATGCCATCGACCTCTTCGTTACGGACCAAAGATAAAAGAGTGGCATTAATTCGACTCGTTCCCTCAGCTCCAAGTCCATAGCCTTGATCAGCTCTCCATAACACACCTTCTGGTTCTCCAGTAGCTATACAATTCGTTAGCAAATGAGTGGCATATGAGAAAGTTTGGCGCATACGATCTAGATTAGGGTCTCTTTCTATATTGTCAAGTGTATCTCCAGGCCCTAATTGTGGTTTTTCTCGACCAAAAACTTGATATAAGAAAAATATCCATAATCCTATGGCCAATAGGCCCAAGACTCGAATCGGGCGTGCTACAGCCATAATTGATTTTTTGGCTTAAAAATGTGTTTAAATTCCCAAAGTCATTGAAGCTTGGAACAACCTCGCGACAACTCCGCGTAAGATTTATCGAAAATTAAAACCACCTAACTCCACACACACCTTTAAAAAAGGGGATGGGATGGGATTTGCCTCGTCACCATTCTAAAGCTAGAGCGATAACAGCCTTGTATCTAAGGTTACGTTGTTATCGCGTCTTATCGATACCGTGTAAAACTACAGCTCGAATATTAATGTAACCGTTACTGTTAATGTTGATTCCAATGTTTAGATGAATATCACCTGGATACATGTTTGATCAAAAAGTACACAATATCATAAGAGAACCTTACTAATGGATAGATACAATGGCACATCTTGTAAAGCTAGGAGCTTTAACAGATGAACTTGTTACATTAATCACTTCCTTCTCCTCGCAGGTAAATATGTCATTTGATTCCATTATCCTGTTCAGTGCTTCGGAATACCAGAGTCAATGAGCTGACAAAATTAGTCCGATTCTGCCAGGTTCAATACTTGTCGAGAAACTGCTATTCGAGCTCTCAGGCATAGTAACTACAATCGAACGAACCAATTTGATATTGAAGATCGACTCGAGGGTCTTGACGAAAAGTTTCGAGTCTACAATGAAGATCCACTCGCAGATGCGCTCAAGGAGCGTCTGCAAAAATTGCCTGAATTAAAATTAAAATGGACATCCGAAATTCTCCACCTACTTCTTGAATTGTCGAATAAGCCGGTCTCCAAATCCAGGATTGAAAATCTAGAATTGATAAAAATAATAGATTCCGAAACAGAACCTCCATTGAAATGGCGAGATCTTGTGGCCGAGGACCCTTTACTACGAGAAAAAAGTATTTGGCGAAATGTCGATTTCGGGGCGGATAGTTCTGATGATGACAATGGTTATGAGGATACTCGATCAGAATTGTCAGAGTTGACTGGATCAACAGGAGAATCGAGCTTGGATGATGATAACATTAGGAGGCCCCAAGTTTTCATTGTGAATACACTTGATGAGGACACTTTGAATCAATTGAGGAAGGCACAATTTTGGCAGAAACCACCAAGCGTGAATGGCGTCCAGCTAAAGACTGTTAAAAAACCTATCACCGAACTTCAGGCCGTCCGAGAAGTTCTCTTTATGTTTACTGGATCATCGAGCTCTCTTTTCGAAATGGACTCACATGATGTTCGGAACCTTAAACCTTCAAAGGGTTATACTTTCAAGCATTTGACTACGGAAGGTTATGATGTACTGATGCAAAAGTTCGCGACTCAAGGCTCAGCATTGAATATTCTTCGAGCCTGGGTAAAACAACCCCAAAATGTGCCGTTACTACAGGTTTTGCAATCATCTATTTCTCAGCGCCTTATGAATTTCGACACTAGGTTGTCGAACATTGAGAGCAGATTTGTCGCTCCTCCGCAAGATGTTGTTGTGAGTCTTTTGAGTCTACAGAATGAAATAGCAGATTTTACAAAGCCTCTTAACAGACTTGCCGACATTGTCAAACGGATTGAGCTCGATCCATATGCCCATGCTTTTCGTTACCTTGAGTTCCTATATGACGAAACTTGTACGTCTCAGATGGCTGGAGACGATGACATGTATGAATTTATGGGTAAGATATTTTTTCAGTGCTTTCAAATCTACCTACGGCCGATTAGATCATGGATGGAGGAAGGCGAGCTTAGTAGTGGTGACAACGTATTCTTCGTCTCCGAAGTTATTGGAAACACAGATCCATCTTCAATTTGGCAGTCTCGCTTTAAGCTACGCAAGACTCAGAGTGGTATTTTACATGCTCCGGGTTTTCTTCAAACTGCTGCCGAAAGAATATTCAATACTGGCAAAAGTGTTGTTGTATTGAAACAATTGAATCAATTCGAATCAGTACGATCAAAGAGAATGATAGAACCAAAACTCGACTTTGATTCAGTACGCAATACCAAGAGATTCTTCTTGGCACCTTTCTCGGAATTATTCGATGTAGCATTCGAAAACTGGATCAAAAGCAAACATCATCACACTTCTAACAAGTTACGACAAACCCTATTCGATTCTTGTGGTTTACATAATGCCCTGGATGCATTAGCTTATGTTTACTTCATTGCCGATGGCATCTCTTCGTCAAGCTTTATGTCATCGGTTTTCGATAAGCTAGACACATTAGATGCTTCATGGAATGATCGATTTCCATTAACAGAACTCGCACAAAGTACAATTGGTTCCCATCCTTCCATAATTTCAGAACGACTTCGATTGCGTATCCGACCTCTTTCACAAAGGAGTCGAGATATCAATAGATGCCGAAGATCAGTTAAGGTCTTGTCCATAATCGAACCTATATATCACCTCTCATGGCCAATTCAAATAATAATCACTCCACAAACAATCCCCTCATATCAAGGAATCTTCACCTTCCTCTTCCAAATTCGTCGTAGTTCTCATATTCTCTCCCGAGAACGTCTCATTTCCGATCGCCACAATCTAACCAGCACCACTGATGAACGTTCTCTATACTACGCCCTCAGAACTCGTCTACTCTGGTTCTATTACACTCTATACTATTATCTCACCTCCCTAGTCCTCGAACAACGCTCTCAGAAAATGCACCAGGATCTCCAAGAAGTCGAAGACATCGACGCTATGATTCGCGTTCACACATTATTCATTAAACGCATCACGGATGAATGTCTCCTAGGTACTAAACTCGAACTCATCCACAAAACTATCATCAAACTTCTCGACCTAGGTATCAGATTAGAAGATGCCCAAGCGGCAAATACAGCGAAGAGGAAAGAAGCTTTGGAAAAACAACAGGAAATTCTAGATCTTTCCCTAGCATCTCTAGATCTGCCTCCTACTCCGCGAACACCGAAAAATTCAAGGATGAGCATGAGTATGAGTATGAGTATGAACATGAACATGAACATGAACATGAACAAGAAAATGAGAATGAGTCTCACAAAACAAAGACACGAGGATTCAGAAGATGAAGATGAAAATGAAAATGAATTAGAAGTAGATTTGAGTATTCTATCACCGGGAATGGAGGATCATCAAAATCATCCTCATAATGAAGAATCATACATACAGAAATTAGAGAATATGAAAGGAGAATTCGATAGATTAGTTCGATTCGTAGGGAGTGGATTGAGGGGCGTAGCGAGAGCGAGTGGAGGGGAGGAGGCGAAGGGGTGGGATGTGCTTGGGGAGATGATCGAGGTGGGGGTTGATGCTTAGGGGGTTTTGTTTTTGTTTTGTTTTGGTGGAAGATTTAAGATTTGAGATGGAAGATGTGAGATCTGAGATTTAAGATGTGAGATGTGAGATGTGAGATGTATGGAAGGGGTTGGTTGTTGTATTAGTATTATATAGATGAGTTATAATTAAGAGTTATTTTATAATTGTGATTTTTTATAATTATCCGATTGAGTTTTATTGATAAATATTCTTCTACTTACTCGTACTGTATGCAGGTACCTGTCCTGTTCATTGGATGAGATATATATCACAAAGGGAGTTCAATGATTAATTAATCAATTTAAAACTGAGTTTAAAACAATCAAGTTGAGATAAATAAACAACATATCTTATAGATGAAAGATGATAAATAATAAATCAATTGAAAGATTTTTAATCCAAAAGCTCTTCTACTAACGCTATCAATACTAATAACATCACAAAATATCCTAAACCCAAAAAACACAAAACGTTTTAGTAGACAACATATATAATCAAGCAACCCAGCCACCCATCCATCAATATACAACCAAACCAACGCAATCCATTAAGCCCATTCAATGAAGTTCCATCCTAAAACGCCTTGAAAAGATCATACACGCATAACTCATTAGTCATACACAATCCCCCATCCAATTACTCATTTTCATCCTTTGCACTTCCGCTTTCCCAAACGACAAAATCTGCTTCGGGTTTTTCAATCGGTTCAGCTATTTTCTTTTGCATAAGGAAATCAATATCAATTTCCTTACCCTTTCCTTTGCTAGACGTGATTGTAATAGGTTCAGAGATTTGTTCTTCCTGTTCCGAAGGACTCTCGATCACCTCCTCAGCTTCGCCCTCGACCAACACCTGTGGTTCAGGATCTGGAAGAATAACGAAAACACTCTTCTCATCACAACCTTCACCATAGAAATCCTCTTTCCTCATCTCTCCCAACGGAGATCTATCAACATCGATAACACCTTCTGCCACTTCCCTTCGTTTCCGTTGCATCTTAACTTTCAATTTCATCTCCCTAATCTCCATTTCATCTCTACGAGACATAGACGACGAAGTGGAAGAACTTGAAGCGAAAGTATTCATCGAAGTACGAGTTTGAGAAATATCATCTAGAGGTGGAACGTTTTCCTTGCCTCTTTCATCTCTCATTCTAGTAAGAGATTCTTCATCTGATGATATGTCGAGAGTGCATGTACTGTGTTCCATAAGATTGGTTGCCAGTTCTTCTTCGGTATCTTCATGGATTTGAAAGAACCAGGATGATTTACTTTCGGGTGCATGAAGAGAGGCGGGAATTTCCCTATGAGAGGCATAAGATTTCGATGACGAGGTAGAAGCAGATTTAGAGGAGAGGGCTTGACGTTGAAGTTGACGTGCACCATATGAAGGAATAGTTCCAGAGAGAGCAGCATCGATTGAGAAGCTAAGACCGCTTGGTTTGGGAGTAGAGAATTTTGGTGGATCAACGCGAGTTATTGGGGTGGAAGTACGACGACGATTATTGAGGATCCCGACGCGTTTTCTAGTTGGGGAACGACCTGCGGGAGCCGTAAGAGGTGTAGATTTTGGTACCGAGGTAACTTTGGGTGTTTGAGAACGAGGCTGGAGGATATTTCGCTGCTTGATGGACTTGGTAGGTTTCAGAGGAGAGGAAAGCGCGGCGTCAGTGGGAGACGGTGGTGCATTGATTAGGCAGAAGTTTGTAGGTTTTGATAAGCTATCTTTAGTTGCATCAACAGCTTTGGATCGTTTGGGAGATCCGAAAGTAAGAGGATCAACATTTTCGGAATCATCATCAGATTCGTAAGTTGTGGCTTTCCGCTTGGAGGGGGAAGTAGGTTTTGGTGAGAGAGCTGAAAAGGATGAGTTTAACATTCATAGGTATATTATCAAAGGTAAACGGTAAACAGTGAATAGTAACAGTTGAGAAAAACTGTTACTATCTAGTGAAATAGAAGTTTAGCATACCATTTTGACGATTCTTAACGCTAGTAATATTCTGTAGACGTGAACCATTCAATGGAGCGAATGGTTGTCTTGCAATTCCCATTGGCATATGCGAAGTCATGACTGTGATTTGTTTTTCGAACGTTTGTATTTTCAATTCTTCCTTTTCGAACAATGTATATCACTTATTGTAATGAGATTGAGTAAATGAAGAAATGATATCTCAAGATTTGAACGACGTAGATAATTATCATGAAGCAATATTTCGTATGAGGCGTTTCCAAAAATGTGGTGGCAGGAAGGAAGAAATTGATCAAGTCGCGTTCTTTCGTGAAGGTGGAGGAGTGAGAAAGTGGAGATTGGAATACAGTGTGTGCAGTACGTCCGTTGGTGTTGGTATCGGTATCGGTATCGGAAAGTCGGAAACCTGATTTGATATTTTATGAAGGTTTTTATTTTGTTCAAGCGCCTAAGAATTGATCAATCGTTTTATGAAGATTTTCGTGAGGTAATGTATGGTAAGGTAGGTAGGTAGTAGGTAGGTGAGGTAAACAAAATATAATTTTCCCACACAATAAATCAAGCAAGAGAAAATGTAAGTGTTAATCAATCAATTCGGATGAAAGTCGCGAAGAAAGATCAAAATAAACAAACAATCGACAAGTAAGTTCCTCTCGCGAAAGCAGATCAAATCAAATCAGAACAGATCAGATCAGATCACTGGGTAAGTAGGTAGTATGTAGAAAAACAAAACCGAAGAAAAGGAAGCACGAAAAGAGAAGAGAAGAGAGAAGAAGAGGGTGGGGGAATGCAGGATATATTACAGAGTTAACCTCAGCTCCAAAAATGGAAGCCTATCATATCAACCCCACTAAATCAATCATAATTCACAATTCACAATTCATAAATTCTATAGAGTATTCTTGCTGGCTCATACTTCAATTCCCCTTACATCTATCTACCATCATTTTCATCCTCTTTCTACAATAATAATCCATACATATATTTCATCCCCCATCTCTCATTTGTTCACCCATCCCATCCCCATTCCACACACGCGTCTCAGCGCGTATACAACGCGACTCCCACCAATCCCAATCCCATCACAATCTAACTCGCGTCTGAATCAAAGTAAGACTTACATTACATCTACATTACTAGGTGTACATTACATTACAATCAATCAATCGAAACATCTCATCCCATCCCATCTCATCTAAACTTCTCAAGTACAGTATGCTCCATACTAATAACTAACAATGATGAACAACAAGCGAGACATTCATCCAAACCCCGAATCATGCAATCCCCAATTCCCATCTCCCATTGGTATACATAGCCACTAGCTATAAAAACCAATGCAGGGGGAGATATCCCTTCTTATCCTATATGTACCTAGTATGTACTCCGTCCTTATAGTAAAACATTTAAATATCCCCTATCCCTATTCCACGTTCCATCACGCTCAGAACACGACTTACCTACTGTATAGCTATAAGAAAGACGAAACTCGCGTCCAAGAGGCGAGGCGAGGCGACACGTTCGTGTACTTGTCGTTCCTTTCATACTTTTCATACCTTACACATCTTGAATACACTTCCTCCTCCCTTGGAACGCGATCAATGAATAACAATTATCGAAATATCATCGAATAACCAACCGACCAATAACCTTCCTGAATTTCTTTTCTATCCACAACTCACTCACAATTCCATACACCTCATATCACATCATATCACCTCAATATCTAACCCTCACATCTTCAAATTACCTACCTACCTACCTACCAGAAAAAGTCCCCCTTTCGTTACTCTACCCACCTACCTACCCATCTACATATTCATATCCACGTTTACGTTTACGTTTTGTTTCCTAAAATCAACATTTGGATAAAGAAATAAAGGTCGTGATGAATGCGACCTTTGCGTTACTCCTCTATGCATGCACAACTATTGGTATTTATTCACTCTTATCACTCATCACCAAGGCTATGCTGCTCAATGTTGTACATGATCTTTCTGCCGTGCATAATGTGTCATGCTGGATCTTGAAATTTGAATGAGAGGTTGTATATTCATTTTGCTAAGCTATATTTATGTTTGCTTGATGCCGCTTATGTGCATGGTCCACAGCAAGGAAAGGATAGTTGGGGATAGACTCCAATCCAATGGATAACTTGACTAGCTAAGAATGAAAAGTATAAAATTAGAAACGAAACGAGTGACGTGATAAGAATTCATAGGTCGTGTAATCTCCCAGCCACTTAATCAATCTCTCCAACTCGTGGAGCTCCCCCTTCCCAACCAACACGCTCGTAATAACGGAAAACCAGGTCGTATCCATCAAAGTCGTGTACGATCCTATCAACTCTACGATATCCAGGAATGTTCTCCATTCTTGCACTTCTCAAGCGGGCGGCACCTGCAATCTTCATGGCCGATACATCATCACCAAGCAATGTTAATTCTCTTCCCTCGGCCGAGTTACTCTTCGATTCAAAGAGGGTGACACTAAAACGCCCAGGCTTGAAGATATCAACAACGTTCTCGATGACATCAGCCGTCTCACGTCCACTTTGGCAACCAGGGACATTGGTCTCGAATGATGCATATGAGCATTGAGGCTCGGGCGTAACATGAACCGTGAAATAATGAGTGGCAGTGCCTGCTTGATCAGGAGCTGGAATAACTCCATTGGCCGAAAATCCACAAGGAGTGAAGAGGTAGGCATCAACGCGTGCATCAGGGTACTTGGTGGTAGGATAGACGTCCGATAGACCGCAAGCTTCAGAGACTACCGTACCAAGTGCGTGACCCTCAGTTCCCAGCTCTTCAGGGAAGGATACATCATCATCCGGTGTGACAAGACCTCCATTGTGATCAGAAGATGTGTTGCTAAAAACGTCGAAAGTTTCATCGGTGTCGGTACTTCCGGCTGTTGTGCCACTGAGACTCAAATCAGTTCGACTCAATTCACCAAGACTCTCTTCTGCATCCTTTCGCGCCTCCGAAGCCCTAGTCGCATATTTACTCTCCGCGGCCGCAACCGCGTGATCAAGATAGAATTGTCTAGCGTTGTTTGGCTCTAGATCAGTCATGAGAATCTCCAGGGTCTCATCTGGACCTTGGGCAGGATCACCATCCATAGCAGACAAAGCCTCATTAGGCATGTTCAAAACCTTCGTCTCGGTGACTGACCTCTCTGCATCCGGAGTTTGGGGCGGTGTAAGATCTGTGTTAGGATTGGTCAAGTAAAGATACCAATGATCTCCATTCATCTTGCCAACCATATATGCACTCCCACCTAAGAACATGTCATCGAGGTATTTGACTTCATCCTTCCAGCTACGATGTGGACCTTGCTGTTTCTCAGGGAATAGGAAGTTCTTTCGACTGTAAAAGACTCGGTATGGTTTTGCAGCTGTTTTCACGTCTTCAACAGATTTGCAATTTTGGGCTGGGAAGCCTGCATGAACGGCCGCAATTCGCAACATTCGACGAAGTCCGAGCAACAAGGTAGTAGTACCACAAGTCTTGAGAATAAGCTTGTGGGGAAAGACAAACATGCTGGACTCAGAAAGAAGATATGCATCCACGTGTTCAGACTCGACGACTGACAAGACTTTACAGTTAACAAGATCTAGCATTCCTGTCCATGTTTCGGCCGAGACGAACTTGAGCCCATCTTCTTTAGCACCGATAGGTAGATCCTTCGGAGATGGAGCAAACCAAACTTCTAGAAGTTTTTCTGGGCCTATTACTATTAGCATTTTCTCTCTGGAATGGAATTCTAATATACCAACCTTCGAATGCATTGCTAGAATCGAGATCAATAGTAGCATCTCGATTGATAGTAAGTTGAGGTGTACCTTCAGAAGGCGAAAATGTATATTGGGATGGAATCTCGAGGTTGACCATCTCTAGAATTTAGAGTGTGATAATGCACGTAATATTGAATTTATGCCCTGTGTCCCAGGTATTTGTGTCTTTTTGCGATTGGCAAAGTACTGTGAAGCACTATCTGCCACCCAGACGAACCTTGCGGTGTTCGACTGAGAAGAGAAGGCCCACAGGACCGTGTGATACTGTATGTGCTGGCGAAGCCAGCAAGATGTTTGGGATATAGACGTCACGTAGGGGACGTTAAGGGGGTCGGGTGCAAAGGGGGATGAAAAAGTCCTTTTCCGAAGGAATGTTGGATTCTTTGGGCTCGCTCTGATAGATGCCGATACCGTGAGAAGATATCGGGTCTAGCAGACGAGTAGTATCTGCAGGTTTAGGTATTCGAGTTTGGTGAAGTGTTTGGGGGCGTGGCTGGTGTTATCTGGGCCTGGAGAAGGAAGAGAAGCTGTTAGCAAAAAGGAAGAAGGTTGTTGGCCAAGAGAAAAGAGGTTTCTGAATAAATCTCCGCTTTCGAAAAGTGAATACTCTTCACAAGTCACTAGACTTTATTAATCAAATCACCAAGCTGTTCATCTCCACGCATATGGGAGGAAGTATACTTGGGACGATAGCCTTGGGTCTTCTGATAGAGCTCGTAGGAGACATCATAATGCAGAAGGACACACTGGCAGATAAAGGGAATAGTTGAAAATCCTTACTTTGCTGGCTTAGAAAGGAAGCGTAGTAGATCTTTAGTGCTCATAGGGGATTGTGGAAGTATTGATAGAGTAGTTGTATCGCGGTCAAGTGCAACACTGACCGTGACTTTGTTGCAAAGATTGCAATTTCAATAAGAATGTGTATTCATTGAAAATTTCACAGGATAGCAGGTAGCAATGCGAAAGTATTTTAGGTGTTGGAATAGGTCTCCAGAAGGTGAATTGTGGATTTGTTGCGTTGGATGCTTGGGAAAACTTTTTTTCTCTCGATTTTTGTGTGAGAGGTTAGGTATGTCTGTCTAATAAGACAACATGCGTCATTGGTCAGTTTGTTTCTGCGCATTTGGAGAGTTGACCGCCTTACCAGGACCGGAGTAGTTCTAGAACTTTGATAGAAGCTCTAGGATATGAATATGTAATAGGAGTAAATAGTAGCAGGTACTAGGTAGGTAAAGCAATGCGAACAAGACAATTTGAAGTGATAGCGAACACAAAATATGAAAAAGAATTGAGGGTGGGTGATTTATTTATTAAGTAGTAGGTAACCTTATATTATTGTAAGGTGTTAGGTGTTAGGTGCGGGTACCGACAAATATTATTGGAATTCCAAATTTTCCAGATCGCTCGATCATTTATTTATTACACGATGGGCATCAATGACTTCTTGGCGGAAAGGGCACACTGGGTACGAATAATATGGATTGATGGGGATTGATGGATGGAGACAGAACAGAATGTATCGTTTCCCTGCCCCGCACTTACCAAATAGAGGTCTGATTCAATAATAAATGACGACCCCACTAAAGGCATACATAACCTTCGAGTGCAACATGCAACTGAAAGAAAATGGCTGACTGTTGTTGATACAAATTCATTGACAAACCATCTTCATTTCATCAGCATTTAACCTTAAGTACATATGGTGAGGTAGATAAAGAAATAGAAGTCTTTCGCATATAATTGGCTAATCGCAGCGAGGAAATACATCCGTGACTTTTCCATACTAAATGCACTCGAATTCACATTTAGAACTACTTGCTTTCAGCCAAATGAGAATTAGGCAGTATTTACTTCGTTCAGAGATCTAAAAGAGAACAAAGAATAAGAATGATTAAAACAATTCATTGGAGTATAAGAAACTATCCATTCGAGCATAAGCATAGCCATTGATGCCACCGGAAGAAGCCAAACTCCCTCATCATGTTTCTTCTCCTAATTCTCGCGAAAGGGAGGGTTTTGCATATAAAAACAGCCACGCACAAATCTACAGCACCATGTTGTGTATCTACCCAGTACCTATGTAAGGATACATATCACTATTCAATTTACTAGTGGAGTAGAAGTTTCATCTGACAATCATATCAAAGTATGTATTCCAGTTACACTGAATGAGATATCAAGATGTATGGAAACGTCCGGCTCCCCGCTGCAAGTCGAGATATGAAGAAGTCTTCGTATTTTCCTGAGTTGGGGATGATTATTTATCTATAGATCCTTTCTCGATATTTTTTCTTATTTTTGGCCTTCACTTCTAGGCTGTTTGATTTGATGTGATGTTTCTCTGTGAATGGGAACCTGCCTTTTTGAGGGGTTTCTTCTCAGGGAGAAATAGAAATACTGGGGAGAACAGAGTGGTTGTTTTCAATCGCTCCTCCACCAGACAGCCTTCTACTTAATGATACAATAAATTGAAGAAATCTGAGCTTTATTTTAGATGCAAAAACTCTACTAGAACATTCACTACATACCCAGGATTAAAAAAAAAAGGGGGTGGGGGGCTATCGTCTATCCCCCTAATTGCTATCTCAAATTCTCAATTGGATACCTTCTCTTCCCTATCCTCCATCCCATCTGCTGACGAGATGTTTTATTGCACACTACAAGAGATCGTCCATCCTACTGGTTATTCTACAATATAAGTAGTTGTTCATTCCTCATCCTATGCTTGTTAATCCGATATCTCTCCTATTCCTATTCCTATTCATTCGCCTATTTTTCTTTGGTGGGTGGCTCTTACTGTAGCAAGAACCTACCTAAACCTATCCATCCTATCTTCACCTTATTTGATTGAAATTCAAAGTCTTTTTGTCTTATAAGTAGCTTGAATTCTACTACATGTCAAGAATCTTGATTGGATCCTTCAAATGTTAAAGTTCAGGTTCACTCAGCCAATCGCCTCCGGCGAACCTTTATTTTGCAAGTTGCAAATGCTCTCATAAAAGGACTAATGGCTACAGCTTTCCATCTATAATCGAGAATATAGAGCATGAGCATTTTACGTTCATTCCAAGTAACTAACTTGTCAGATATATCAAGAAAATTACTACAAATATACAATCCAAATCTGCCTTAGTGAGTATAAGAAACATAAATAGCAAAGAGACAAATAGAACATTAGCTAGATGCCCCTGTCATCTTCATACATACACAATTTCATATCTAAGAACTGCAATAAAACTCTCCAAGCCTTCGCCAATCACCATCTAAAGATGAAGTTTGGACAAAAGCAGTCTCATAATCTATCGAATTCTACCTGGGTATAGGGTTAGACAGCTTCCTAACAGCTGGATAAAGCTCCTATTAAAAATCAACATGGTGATAACCTAATCATCGAACTTATGACTTTCAATATAAATCGGGATATCGCAATTGATTGATAATTCACTCTCCTCTCAACCCCCCCCAAAAGGTCCCCATGTTATCCACCCCCTTCAAACAAAACCATAAAAGTTCATACAATGCTATATAAATCCACTATATCTATTAATTCATCTCTTATTAATTAATCTCAGATTGGAAATGGATACCAAGTTACTGTTTTAAGGGAGATATATTCGGACATTAGGAGGGATAAAGGTACGAGGGTTAGTTTAGGTGGTTTGAGTGGTTGAGTGGTTGGTTTGTGAGAGGGCGGTGGGAGGGGAGGATGGCATGGTCTGCAGGGCAAGAGTTGAAGATATAGCACATACTATGCTGTAATAGTGCTAGTAGAAATACGGATTCATGAAACGCTTTCCCAACTTCTAGTTTTTGTGATTGATTATTCTCAAATTGATGATCCTCAAATATCCCATATTGTTGTCTGATCTATAATGAAGTATTCCCATCAAGTGTCAAAACCCCAAGGAAGCATTTGAGAAACATCGTCGAACGAGTCAGTCCGCTCATTATTGCACCATTCATGATACGTCTCTCACAACTTGTGAGAGTTTTTAGTATGTATTTTACAATAGGAATTATACATCAATGTCATTACTGCACATGATATACACATCTATGATACACCGAGAGGTCTCAATACTCTCTCCCTCGCCACTTCTGTCGCAAAATCACCACCCTTCTGTAATGCTACTGCTCCAATAATGGCGTACAATGAAGTGGCGATCACAAGATCAATGCCGGATTTTTCCAGGTTATCTTTCTGTAAAATATATCAGTAGCGCCACAAAAAACCCGCTGCAAAATTATTCGACTTACCATTCTAGGTTCCCATCGAATAATGTCCTGCATACCCATCCGAGTTCCCAACCTCGCCAGTCTCTCCTTGCTCAAAATATCACCCACCTTTACATTAGTCAAGTTTGGTAAACCGTCCAGAGCAGGATGCGAATATGGCTCCATGCCCTCTGTGTCCTGAGGTAGTTGGGCTCGTCTCGCAATCGGTGATTGCAATAAAACTAAACTTGTCTGCAAGCTCAATATCCTGCGTCCTGCATATCATAAACTCAGTATTTGCTCCTCAATCCGCAGGTAAACCGCAATACGCACCGAAATATGCCAATCGATCATTAAAACCTCTTCTTCCCTGATCAAAACTCTTATGTGTAACAGCGAGCCATTTTACTTCATCTGTAAGTACTTGATCACCTCCTCGTCCCAGAAATTGTGTATAAAATCGGTTCAATCGTTCTGGATCGCTATTGACTTCCCATGTCGGTATGTCGTGATTTGCTCTCGGATTGAAAGGTAATTTCATCTGAGGGGGTGTATATGACCATCTGGGTTGCGCCCCTCGATCTCCATCATATTGATTATCTGACCTCGAGGCTGATATTGAGAATTGTCGGGCGGTATTTGAGCAGGAGGATATGGGGGCGGCGCATGAACATTTTTGACGTGCTTGCCGAGTGAGGGATTGGAGTGATCGACTGGTGGTTTTTGATGCCATTTTTATATGTAAATCGTGGTCAATTCGTAGTGAAAATACCCCCCTCCTCTAGCAAAATAATTCCTCGATGTTGAAAGCTCAAGATTTCTGGAAACTTTATCCAGACGCTAAACTTTTTTAAGCGTAGACCAGACTTCGCGTCTTCCGACTCGCCGACGCGTCTCACGAAGGACTTATTCCAATACGTAATTTAAGATGTACACTTTTCTTTTATTCGATTTTATGATCATGGAATTCTTGAAATAATTAACAATATTCTTTGGCTATGGCTATTCAAGGGAGTTCTGGTTCAAAAGAATCAATTGTCTCTTCCATTTTCATTCAACGACTTGCTTCTGTCCTTCCTAAAGACGTCACTTTTAAGATTTACCATCTATCTACCCCTCCAACCAAAACCTCATCGTTATATTCTGCGCCCCCGAATAGTCGCCCCGATAGAACCTATTGCGAAAGTCATTTTCTTACAGTTTCAATTAAAACTCCTTTGAAAAAAGATGCGCCAGAAACAGTTGAAGTGTTAGTTTTCGCAATCGAAATCCTCATTTATTCCACCGCATACGATACTACATTTTTCGTTTCGAAGGCCGATTCGACTGGATATCTACATTTGCTAAATCTGCCGAAAGGAACGCCTTCTCCCATACGAGATATTAGTGCTACATTTTTACAACATTTGATTCAACAGCGTCAAAGAGAAAATATTCGAAGTGTTGTGTCACTTTTTGCCAGGGCTCAAGATCAATACCTTTTCCCTGGAAGTATTGAATACAGTGGAAAACATGTGCTGGATGATAGAGGCTTGGTGCGCTGGTGGTGTCGAGTGCTTGACTCGCTAATAGAGCAGACGGAAATATCTATTGATTCGCGAAAATCTCAATGGGATTCAGTCAAAGGTTTTTTGATTGTGCCTGGACAGGACAATTACGAGACTAGGTCATATCTTCCCGCAAGAGCAAAGATACAGGGTGCGCAAAGCTCCTGGACTATTGGACACCCACTACGGCAAATTTCAAGACATTTAAACGATGTTCCTCCACGATGCTTAGTTCCACATTATCCAGACGATCCAAAAGCAAGATTTCTAGACGAATTGGATGACGAGATAGGGAGAGGGAAGGATGATTCGAGTGGACAATGGAAGAGCGTGAGGAATATTGATCAATTCTGGGAGATGATGGCATATAGACAAGAGTGTTCCGCCGGACGACTAGTTGGATTTATATGGATCGTTTTAACACCATCAGTTTCTCATGATCAAGGAGATCTTGTCCCTGACAGCAGTCAAACCACGACGTTGGCTAATGATAGCCAAGAGGAACTCAACTCTTTATTCCCATCAGTTCCAGATGCCACAGTCGCTTCCACTCCATCAACATCCTTTACTAGCTCGTTCCCATCTCAGCAGTCACCTTCTAAGGGAAGTGATAATATGTCATTCACCGAGGAACCTACTCGATTATCGAAACCTTTTGCCCTACGAAAGAAGAAGAAATTATCAGGTGTCATTATTCCCAGACAGCCACGAATCAAGACTGAGACCAAAAATTACCTGCTAGAAAGACCTGAAAGCACCGCATACTATTGTTGGAGACCAGAAGGTCGCGGTCAAGTCATCGTTGATGAAACAGACTACCATCGAATCAATGAATTACTTCTTCGGCTAGATTTCGCCGATCTTGACCTAGCAAGCTCGAGTTCCAAAAGATGGATCAATGAAGTTCGTTCGGGTGCAGGAAGTATGGGCGATGCATGGGGTCAATTAGTCACAGGAACTAAAGTCACGGAGATTACAAGTAAGACGGGTGGCGCAGGCATCACAACGCTTAATGTAGGACTCGTACGGAAGAAAAGAAAATCGAGTGCCGACGAACCCCAGGAGCCTACTCCTACCACGACATCGGCACCCCAGGTTAATGTGCTTGGAGCCGGTATGGTTCGAAAGAAGATAAAGAACTAATATGGCTACTATGTTCGCCCGGTGTATATTTGGTTTAGTTGAAAGCCTGCTTTAAAATCGGAGTTGGATACGGCGTCTCCAAAAATATGTATACCCAGGACATGGATCACGGATAATAAAGGCAATATAATTTCGCATTTTTATACAAGACTCCCGTGAATTAAACTAAGAGTTCTGGACTTTACTCACCGCACACCGTGACGTTTTGTGACAAAATCCCTGCAAAAACCACAATCTTCCATATAAAATTAAATATTAAATAACTTTCTTAATATTGAATTAAATCATTCGAAATCTTTAAATATAATATTTAACTAAAAATTAATTCTAGAAAATTTTATAATTTATTTTTAATTATTTTTGTTCAAAAGTTATAGGTATTTAAAGTTGTAAAATATCAAAATTTCGATTGTGTAACGCTTTTCCCATATAAAATAAGCGAAAATTTTGATAATTTTATGATTCTTGTCTTCAATTTTATATAATTTATCAACAAAAATTATTAAAAATAAATCAATTAATTTTTTATAAATTTTAATTGATTAATTTTAAGTTTTTTCAAAAAAAAAAAAAAAAAACACTTTTTTATTTTATATAAATATTTAACAAAGATTTGAAAAAGTGAATAAATCAAGGTTTTAGGTGAAAAGCGTTACACTGTGCGGTGAGTAGAGTCCAGAACTCTTACAAGTGCAATCGCCCTGGCCAAATGTGCCAGTCAGCCCTGTAGATCCACATTGTTCCAGGACCAGCGCAAGCCTCGTCCCTCTGTTGTCTACGATTCCGTCGAGGTGAACCTTGAATAGGCTACGTTTAGCAGATAAACATTCCAAATTGCGACAAATTGCTGCTCTATGCCCCCATTTTTAGCTGTGGTAAGTAAGCGAGATCTCCTTACTTCGCCACATAATTCAGTGCCTCATTGGCCCACTCGTACATAGACTCTCTATGATCTTCTTACGCCCAGACCAATAAGACGTTTACTTCTCATTAGTCAGCTGTTTCCTTAACCCTCAAGGAGGGTTGTAGTTTCTCAAAATCTGCCTTGCTATTGCCATATATCCTTTCCATATATTAAGCTAGGTTTCTTGATGTTATTATCTTTTCTATTAGCGAACGTTCTTTTCTTTTTTTGTAACATTCGAAATATTTGTATTGACTTTTTTTGCAACTGGCTTCACTTCTTACTGATCATTCCATTGAATACTTTTTTGCCTAGGTAACGACAATGCTTTTCCCTAGCCTTATCCTGCTGGCATCGACAGTCTTTACTGCTACAAATGCTCTCGTTCTGAGTACAACTGATACAGTTATAAACACAACTGCAGCTCCAACAATTCTACAACGCGATGCGACTACCACTGCCCTGTCTGCATCTACAAGTCCGGTGTACTTCCTAACAACCAACTATGTTACTATTGCGGGGGTGACCAATGCACATGTGACAGTTCCAGCCAAAACCATCTCTTTCGCAGTTCCTACCTGCATCCAAACACTCACGCTAGACAAAAATGGTTATTTGCTTCCTGGTACATGTAATGCTCTTTATGACTACTATCCAAGTTCTGCATTGGCCTTGACATTTGCTACAATCTTTGGGGTTCTCACTCTAGCTCATCTTACACAAGCTGTGTTTTACAAGAAGGTATTTATTTGTCTCTGCTCTATTGAGGAGTTATACCAAAAGCTAACATATTGTGCAGGCATACAGTTTCTTCATAGTTGCAGCCTCCATCTGGGGTCTTACAGCCTTCATTCTCCGGGTTTTATCAACCCATGATCAACAAGATACTGTCCTCGAACTCTTGTCCTCCATATTTGCTCTAACCATTTCACCCGTCATCAATGCCTACTATTACATTTTACTAGGCCGCATCGTACATCACTATCTTACCAATCGTTCTCTACTAGGAATCCGTGCCCAATTCCTCGCACTGCCATTTTTGGTAATAAACGCAGCGGCGTTTGTGCTAGAAGTTGTGGGCGCAACGATGATGGATAAGAGGAATTTAGTGTGGGAGCAAAGAAACGCTGATCATCTCTATACTGGAGGCTTGGTTGTACAGATGTTGGTTAATTTTGTGTTTATGGGTATGCTTTTTGCATTGTTATTCGAGATGAGGAATTCAGGAAGAAGAAGTGTGATGAGAACAAGGTGGAAGGGATTAGTAGGGGCAATGTTTGGCGCATCGGGTTTGATTTTAGTGAGTTCTCCTTTAGTTGCATAATTAGGCGATGGGGTTTTGTGTCGAAACAGAATATTAACAACGTACAATGCAGATTCAAATCTTCTTCTCACTCGGTCGATTCTCCGCCGGAGATAAATCTTTCAGTGCCCTCTCCTCCCACGAATCATACTTCTACATTCTAGAAACCACCCCAGTAGTACTAGCCATAGCTATCCTAAATGTCTTTCATCCCGGCCGATTCATGACTGGAGAAGAAAAAATGGAAAGTCTCTGGAGTATTCTCACAAGTTTTCTTCTATGTTGCAGATCAAGAAATGATTCCAGAAAAACCAAGAACGCGGCATCGATAGCTAGTTCAAAGGAATTGATTGGATTGGATGAGCAGGACAAATACGAAAAGAATGATGAACCGCCAAGGTATAGTCCTTTGTGATTGAAAGAATGAGATCCGAGCTGGACTTGGACTTTTGGATTTGGGATGTTAGTTGGCTCAGGGGGTTTTTTTTGGAGGAAAATATACAGGATTTCTCGGTTGGTTAGTTGTACAAGAATATTTGTTTGTCTTTTAGCACTATTTATGCGACCCTCCTATTTTTGGGGAGTAGAGCAATCCAAAATAAAAGATAAATGAAAATGAAATGATATGTTCCTTCTCAAAAACCTACTTTACCAGTTTCTGCGTATTAATTCATACACATCCATCTAGATTCGCATTTATCATCAGTCAAAAGCTTAATTCAATTTCCCTAGAAAAAAAAAAACTTATAGGATAAAAGATTGAAGAATAAATAAATAAAATGCACTTTGGATCTCATCTTCATGCATCATTCACCCCTCTAACTCAAAATATAATGGCGTCTTTCTTAGAAATTGAGAATATACTCGCTACTATCCGCTCTGATAATATCTTTCCAGCGGCGAAAGTTCTTGTTCTTCTTCAGTTATTCATCTATTGCTTTCTTTTGCCAGCTTATTTTATCTTACTGTGTTATATGTTGCTACTTAGATATCTAGGTAATATTGTTATTGTTTTTTTATTTCTATTTTCTATTATTAATATATTATATTGTCTTTATATCAATCTTTTTTTATCAAAAGTATAGAGTTTTTTGTGAGTAAAGTCTAGATTTTAAAGAATTGGAGGATAGATGATATATCATATATAATTAAAATCAAAATCTATCAAAGAGGTGAAATGAGGGAGAAGTCTCCTTTTACTTTTCTCTTGAGGAAGGGAGATATCTGAGTTCTGAGACTCCATCAGCTGAGTCGGTGGCGGGACGTAGTATGGAAGATTTTTATACATTATCTGTGGTTAGATGTAGATTGATGGAGGAGATATTTATTACTTATTTGTTCAATGATTTTTACTTTTGATTTCATTTTTTTCCTGCTTCGATTAGTTCTATTGTTTTTCTAAGGTTATTTATCATCCTGAGGGTCTTTTGACTGTTGACTTTTGAACGCTCTCTAAATATCCATTTTAATCTGGTTTTGATGTGCTCTTTACGTTGTATATCTTTGTTTGTGTATATAGAGAGGAGTAGAGGATACGGTGCTTCTATATATATAACTAGAGCGGAATATTGAGTTGTTTTTAGACATTCAGACATTCTGACATTCAGCACTGCCTAAACCGAGCAGTGCCAAGTACCATTAGCCATCACTCTCCCGCATCACAATCCATCAAACGGACAAAGCCGAGAAGTTTCACCCAAGTCATCTTACATTATTGACATCTAGTCCTCAATAACGAAAGGAAACCGGAGAAAGCCCTCTCCACACAAGTTATGAAAGCATGAGACATAACCGCCAAGACCAAAAAAGGAATGTGGGAATTCTCCTGACCTCCATCAGATGCAACGCAGGATAGGAAGAGGATGAAATGACCTATCAAGTCACTGGTGGTTGATAGATTAATTCATCGAAAGGTTTTGATGGCGTGCCGGGATTCTTGGAGATTCTTGTAGTGAGAATTGACTCATTGTTACTGCCACAATTAAAATCATGGCAACGACTTGTGTGACATGATATCTTGTTGAGAGTCTCAGTTCCATATACATGCCATGTATTTGGCCCCTGTAAGAGATCATGATATTTCCTCTGATCAGAGAGATGTGCAAATCTTTCTGTGTGTTCTAATTCCTCTATTCAGCGAAATGACACGAGTTTTAAACTTTGCTCAGTTCTCTAGTGTGTTTCTTCTTGCGGCTCATATACATGCTGCTGATGTTCCACCACCATGGCGCCCTGATCCTGATTTAAGTCCTCCTCCAATCTCAGACCCCGTTCCTACTACATGCTCTACATCAACTGTTAGCATAGAATGTGGAAGTACGCATATTAATCTTTCAGTTTTTCAGTTACCTTATTTTCATATCTTCAACTCGTCAACCAAAATTTCAACATCCAACCCCTTCCTTACCTAAAATTTCTAACTTCTCTCTCAGATAACGCTTGTCAAAGTGCCTGGGCAACAGCCTTCACATCCTCCATCGCCTACGTGCAATCATTCTGTTCATCATTCACCTCACCAGACCGCCAAAACACCAACAAATTCGACAGACAAGGTCCTGTAACTGCATGCACAAGAGGTCTCAACAATGCCGCTATTCAATCTCCCCTCTCATCAGTGTACTCCTGCTATGCAGGGCCAGGAGTACCCACCCAAGCATTCATAATCATCTGTCCCAGCTGTCCACCCATCCAAACTCAAACCCAAACCCAAATTCAAACAATCACAACCTCAATACCCACCACCATCATTAGAAGCGCCAGCGAAAGCACCAAAACAATAACCACAATCATAACTCTAATCATCGACCCCCCACCTCCAAGCCACATCACCACCACAACAACCCAAACAATAACACTCACCAACCCTAGCTTCATCTCCGCCCCGTGCACCACCACAACAACAACAAACCTCGTAACTACAATCCAAGTAACCGCAATCTACGACTACTTCACCTGGACCACAATACTAACCACCACCTACCAAGCCGGACGCTATCCCTGCGCCACTACTATCTGTACATGTCCCGCGCCAACTCCCTCCATATCAACCATTACATATACATATACATATACACCTGAAAACTGCAACATGAATTCCTTTCAAACTAGCACCAGCACCATAACAAACGATGCATCCTTCCCCTCTCCAGCTTTCCCGACGGCCACTTGTAACCCCACTGCCATCGCAACTACAACTACAACCATAATCCTCGTAAGCGACCCATTACCTATCGAATACACTATTACGGAAACAGTAGCTGCAGGATCTGGATCTGGAGTTTGTACGACAACGACAACGACAACGACGACGAAAACGGAAACGACGACGTGGGATAATGATGGGTTTTGGCCGACACCTTCACCTTTTACAGAATCATCGCTTACGCTTACAGATGATAGTGCTACGCTGATGCTGACGCCCGCGCCCACGCAGACATTCTCGCAGATTCTTATTGATGAGGGTGGATTAACTTGGAGCGAGACGAGTATTGATAATGGTATTAGTACTTTGGTAGCGTGGTGGATGTAGATGTAGATGAGGGTAAGGGAGGGAGCATATTAAAGCAAGCGATTGAGCTAGAATGCGAAGTGGTGCTGGAGAGATGTAAGGTTTAATTAATTGGATAAGGATTGTGTGGTTGTGAATGAAAGAGCAAACAAACTTGGCAGCTCTAGGGCTTTCGATGATGTATGTGGGTGAGAATCAACGATGAGTCGTTGTAAAGTCTTGATGGAAGCCATTTTGGAAGTTGACTCTTTTTACTCTTGATTTTTTATTTATCAAGTCACTCCCATATTGTTTAATTTCTTTCATCTCTTCAATTGCAATATCGAGTTATTTGGAATTCAACGAATCTGCTCTTTGTCTAATGCAGGGTATAATCTCAATGCATTTAAAGATGTTAAAGGTTATCTAGACTGGTGACTTGCACTTGTGATGTACATACAAGTGATTAATTTTTGACTAGAATTGACTTGAAGGAAGGATGTTCACTGGAACTGAATGAAGTGCACAAATAATACGAGTATTAGATATTTCAACAGACTTAAAATCTCAATCTTTCGAATATTGGGTCAGCAATTGATGCACGAAATGTTTTTCATTTCTGGTTTTTGGTGCACTATCTGACTGGATTGCTGCACCCCGTTCCCTTTAGATTTATAAAACCCGATAAATGTGACTTTCCTCATCTTCCCTAAGCCCCACTACCACAATTTCATCTTCATGGAAGTCCAAAAGCTAGACATTTGAGGTGCTCCGTGTTATATTCCTGAAGATGTATATAATCAGAATTTGAAAGACTGATATTGGGATTGAGGTGACTCACGAAGGACAGGAGGGATTCATTGGTCGAAGCTCAAACAACATATGACCGAAAAGAGGTTCCATCGAGAGAGGTTTCATGGCCTAAAGCCGAAGGAAAAACGACCCAGCAAATGCTCCGAAGAGTAGGCAAAAAGAGGGCATATATTGCCCGAAGGCGCCATTCTCCAGGTTTCTGGAGCGAACGCTCCAACTCTTCTATCCGCTAATTTTACGATCAATATTTTAACAATGGATAGGAGGATTCTGTGATGAACTTACCTTTGTGAGGTCCTGTAATTGGAGGCCCAAAAATCGAACGTTTTCTGCTAGCTGAAGATCTTTTTGCTAAATATACGATTAGCTTCGGAACAACAATATTGTTTCAAATAGTAGCATAAATATGAATGATTAAGTGCATTTGATTATTGTTAACTGAACAGGGTTTGATAACTTACAAATTGTTGGAGATCCCTCTCCTCCTCGTTGGAATCACCACCACCGAGAATCGTCAAATGGAAGTGGTGGTGGCGATTATTTATGATTGTCTGAAGAGGAGAGAGAGCCTCGGCGTAAATGAAAATGGACAGAATCCAATTTGGACTGTTCTGAAACCTTCAAACCTAACCAAACCCACCCATATTTTATTCCATCTTCATTGGCCTACGTCCGGAAGTACGAGCACTATCGGTCTAGTCAAATAATCCTGGTGGGCATCTTTCCAGGCCTGGACATGTACAAGTCTATGGAGTAATGGTAGTCGATGGAAAGGAGTGATTTGGCAAAACGAATACCAGAGGTGGAGCCATGTATGACACGAATAATTTGTTTTTGAAAAAGCTTTGATTTGGTTTCACCTTTAAAATTCCGTTGGATATGCTTCCAAAATACGATTGAATATTGCTCCCCAAGAGGAAGGGTTCCGGACCAGGTAGCCCAGGGCAAAAAGTGTGAAAATGCCGGCAAAAGAATACAAAAACACCAGGGTGATCTTAGCCCGAAGGCGCAAGTACCGTTCCTCTAGGAGAGCAAGCTGATCTGCTCTAATCATTTCCAGATGATGCTTCTAATTGTAAAATTAGTCCTCAAGCAATAGATTAGATCCACGGAATGGCTTACATGTCTATTTACCTCATCTCGGAGGCGGGCAGCATGCTCGACCTCTGCGTCTCGGAGATAGTGTTCCTGAATGCACAGTTAGCGTTGGAACAATGTAATTTATTTTGGACAATCAGATAGATACAACTTACAAAGAGCAGGAGGTCGCGCTCTATCTCCATTTTGAGCAGGGCCGGGTGCGTCGTATCCGGGAACAACGGGATTTGCATGTAAGATGACTCTCTCAACCATTGTTCAATTGACATCTCCACAGTTTGTTCTTTGCGGCGCAGGGCGCGGCCAGCGCGCCTGTGGGCGGCGTGGCGTCGCGAATCGTCCATACTACATAAAGACAACTATCAGCGGGATGAAACGCTGAGTAAGACACCAACATCTGACCGGAGACCCGGCATTTCAAGCAAGATTATTCTGGGGCCCCATTCACTGGAAACAGAAGCTGTCACCAGTGCCTGGGTGATCACTCGAAGCATTACCTCCCGGAGACAAAAGCCAGCATCGCAGAGATAAGCGCACCCCCGAGGATTATCTCCCGGAGACAAAAGCCAGCATCGCAGAGATAATCCCACCAAAATCGTAAGTCTCCTGACTTAAACAGTACTCGGCAAGCCCCTCACGCTCCACCTTGGTGAAAATGCATCCAAGGTGTCCGACTGCCCAGATTGACTTCGCATCTGTCTCTTTCTTCGAATAACTGCTTCACACATGGCAACTAGCCCTTGAACAATAAGGATGGTCCCCCGCACCAGAGTAGGCCGGTTTTTTGATCCCCAAGATCCAATAGGAGCCATACATGCCTACTGACAAAAGAAGGAATGGTCATGCTACTTCCACCGGGGAGATTACGCCATGTATGTGAAATAGGCCGGCAGATCAAGGGAGAGACGTTATTAAAATGATGTCTTACGTGTTATTATTTGGATATATTGTAATGTATTGAAGTGGCTATTCTTGAGGTTCGTGTGGTTCTGCGGCGTCGGGTGAAGTGGGTCTTGATTTTCTAGAAAAGATATCTGTCAGCGAGGTTAAACACTGAGTAAGACACCAATGTCTGACGAGTGGTCCAGCATCACACATGAAGTCAAGAAGGATTCAGCCCAGGAATGCCGTACAAGCTGAATTCTCCAAAGTGACCTATTGCCAGGAATGCCGTACAACAGTAGGGGTAACAGTACTCGGCAAGCTCCTAACGCTCCGCCCGGGTAAAGTAGCATCCCGAGCGTCCGACCGCCATACTAAGCTAAACTAGCCGTTCTGTCACTTCTCTTTTGAACGACTGTGTCATACAAGACAACTGCTCCTTGAAGATATTGAGGACGGCTCCCCCAAACCAAAGTAGGCTGGTTTAATGATCCTAATAATCTAATAGGAGTCGTACATGCCTAAAGAATCAAGGAGGAGAAATGGCAATGCAACTACCATTTGGGATATCACGTCAAGTATGTATGAAAGGCTAGGGATCAAGAGAAAGACTGTATGGAAGTGGAGTCTTACCTTTTGCTCTCGAAAATATAGCGTAATGTAGTGCCAAGTCGTGATCTTCAACGTAGCTCTCGTGGAATTCTGAAGCCAACGATTTTAGATCCCAAGCTCACCATGCACATCTCGCACCTGCGCAAAAACCACTCGTAATGTAATTGAATCAATGAAAGATCGAGATGGGTATCATTGTATGAAGTGCTGTTGTATGATGTGAAGTCGTGTAAAAATGATGTTTGTAAATGTTGATGTGTATATGAAGGAATGGTTCGTAAGAAGTGACGCTAAGGTAGTCAGTACTTGTAGTACGTGTCGATCCTTCCTTCCCATCCAATTCTAAGTTCAAATTAGCATCATCATTACCTAGGTAATCAATGAAAACAAACAATCAAGAACCTACCAGTAAATCAAAGCACCGAATGGTAGAAAGAAGTACCAGTACCAAAGTCCAGACTGTCGTGCAGCAACAAGAGAATATTGGATGTCGAAATCATTTTAATCATTTAGAAAGAATGTGATTTGGATACGGACTTATCGGACGATACTTATATTTCAAATTGATATGATGTGAGACAAAAACAATATATAACTCGATCAAAAAGATACAAGTTGCATTACCCCTCTTTTCAATTTAGTCGTTTTTTATAATTAGCGTGCTGTAATCCGTCCAATCATATTCCTATTCTAGTCTAGGCAGGAGCGGGAAAATTGTCCGAGATGTCAAAAGAGGACCCGTGCAGCCGGAGAGTATATCACCGGTTCACAATCCCACTGTTGGTAAATTATAAGAGGAAATCGCGGCCCATGTTTAGGTGGAATGTACCGCACTTTCTGTCTAATCGCACCTCACTTTCTCGGCCACATAACCTTCCATCTTTCGAGAGATAAGTTCATGACCTCATAACTTTATTCCTCATTCATTATCCATAAAACTTCAATATTTCACTAAAAGAAGATTTCTCATTGAAGTATTTACATTAGCAGGCACTACATTGTCAAAAACAATAAAGTGAAATATACCAACGATAAGGTCTATCTGTCGTTCAGTGACCAAAAGTCGAAAGTCTAACAGTTATTCGATCATACCTACCTACCTACCTACCTACAGATAACCACTTTATACCATCCTCTAATCTAGTTAGACAAGCCCAATAAATTCCGCGTCGGATACCGTTATCCTCTGCTAAATGGGGTACGCTAGACAGGGATGCTTAAGCAATCATTTTTAGTGTCAGTTAGGGCATCAACATCAGAGGGTTCCAATAGAGGTGTTTAGTTTTTTTTTGAGCTAGCTATCTCTAACACCAGGAAAAAGGGTCTGTCTTTATAGAAATGATTAGGATGATTTTCACTTTACTCTTTTTGAAGAAAGCTTTACCTTTCTTAAAAATAGCTAACTTCCTTTCCATAAAAAACGAGCTAGTTATCTAAGAAATTTCATTTCTTACATCCACCTCTAAGGAATTTTTAGTATAAATATAAATAAAATCAAAATAATCCATTTTCATAAGCGAAGCTATTCTGATCATTCAAAAGCTGCACTAAAATCATATTAGGAAAGGCTGTCAATCGATAGCTAGCTCAAAAAAAAAACTAAACACCTCTAATAGAGGAAGCTTCCAAGAGCATTAGATGCACTAGACAAAATCACCGCCCCATGCACATGAATTCACAACAACACTCTCAGAGCTTAGCATATACCCACATTATCCGCTACATTACTCATCCACCTAAAGTGGTAGCTATTCAGATTGTGATTGATCTTACATTCCAACCTCATGCCATTCCCATAACGCTCTAAAAAGTAAATTGGTATTCCCATTCCATCCATTAATGCAAGCAAGCTCTCCCATGCAATGCCCTTCTTTTCATGCGCCGACCATTAACCCAGGTTGCCTGTGCTTGTTACATGTTCATGACCAATTCCATTGTATGTAAATTCTGCAAATCGTAATAGTATAAGTCAAATGTAACAACACTTTAAATGAAGCAGTATATAAGGATTCTCGTGCTACTTCACTCTTCGATGAGCTGACCCAAAATCAGACTTTGAATGATGATCTCATCATTTATCACCCGGATGCGCTTCGGCAGCGGCGCCGAAGCATCGTCCTCCTTTATAGATGTCCGTTTCCGCTTTCGGGAGCCTCCTGCAGTGCTGGCCGGTGGACTTTCAAATACAGCAGCTTCCACATCTTGCTTACCATCCACGTAAAGCCAATCATAATCGGCATTTTTGTTTTCTGCATCTAAAAGCATCTCCTTCGCTTGAGCCAGGTCTTGTGCTTGGCCCAAGTGAGTTGGGCCCAGAGCTCTAGTCAAGAATATGTAAGGTTTTCTCTTTTCACCCACTTTTCCCTTTCCAGTGACTATTAAGATCGACTTTCCTTGGAGTAGCTTAGGCCTGCTAGTAAATGTGTCATTTAAGTTCGCTTCTGAGGCAGGATATGGATGTAGATATCGACTTTTAACAGCTCCACCTAGAAACGAAGAGCTCCCAGCCGAGAGAAGATATGGTAACCAATCGATGATGATGCCTTTGGTGACACAATCAGAAATCCATCGTCCTGAGATACAAGGGAGTCCAAGGGCCAAAGCTTGCATGTACTTGGTCCTTCTTGAATGCTCATCGGCAATCAATGCCACAAATCCAACTTTTGCCTCCGAAGAAGCAACCTCAAGCTCTGCCTCTCCGATCTCATTGTCTTCAGTATGGGACTTGGATGATACAATCATAGAAGTAAATAACATTTCGAATCCATCATCCAATATTCGGCCACCATGCTGTTTGATCAAACGACTGGCAGCTTGCTTGTCCTTTTCTGCGCCGACATACGAGACAGCGAAAGCCATGTCATTGAACAACCTAGAGGTGGACTTCTTGCTTTGCACATCCATCCCTAGAGAAGACGCCGATAGCGCCAACGGATCTTCGCTATCTTCGTGTGGCGGTAGTGTCGATTTCCTCTTTGACGGCGGTGCCGACATGGTGACTTCTCTCTCATTAAGAGCGGTAGATCTACGCGGGCGGCCCCGTTTGGTAGCCAAAAAAGGAGTGTCTTCTGCAGTGTCCTTAGCCTTGGTAGCACCATTGCCTCTTGGACGGCCACTCGTACTAGAAGTCGAATTTAACCGTGAGGCAGAAGCCGGACCGATATCAGTGGTGGATGACAGAGCATTGGAAGCTGTAGACGAGACACTCGAAAGCCTTGTATTGCGAGCCATCCTTGGTTTTGGATTTGGATGAATTGGTTTTTTGGGATGACTCTTAGATATTCGAGAAGATTTGCGTGGTGGGCTTTGAGGCACGCTATCTCGTTTTCCTTTCATTGATGGAAGTTGTGGCTCTTCAGTGGGAGTTCTTTGAAAAAGCTCATCGTCATGTTCAGTTGAGGCCAACGGTGACGGATGCTTTTCAAGGACACCGAGAGAAGTCTGGACTGCGGGAGCCGAGGTAGGCAATTCAGTATGTTGCTCTTTCTCGGGTGGGTTCTGATCAATTACTTTCAACCCAGAAACGCTTCTTGCTGCAGGTGCGACAGTATTATTTGCAATAGGAGTAGGAGGCTCCAGTGTACTAGGTGCTGATGAAAGTCCTGATGAAAATATAGCGGCAGAACCGGTGGGGACGACATCAGTCGGGCTAGGTGTGGTAACGATCTGTGCTTGAAATTGAGGTTGGGATTTCAGGGTATGGTCATCGGATACACCAATAATCTCGTTGAATTCTTCATCCACATTGAACCCTGGCAATCCATCAAATTCATCATTGTTTTCTATACTAAGCGATATTTCCGCGATCTCGCCCATAGGCTTCAATCGATCTGTAGCTTGACTAGTTTCCGGGACAGTGGATACAATACCATCGGATATCATGTCTTGCATTTGAGGGACGGGCGCTTTGAAAGTCTGACTGGAAGGTGGTTCATTTGGCGATGTAGTTAATTCCTGATCGGAAAGGGCAGGTATATTAGAATCCATGCACAGAATTCCATTCACGCTGGTGATATTTTTGCTGTGCAGATTTTCTTGGCTTGAAGGTTGCTGCATCTGTTTTGGTAGCCTTTGAGATGGGCTTATTGGTTCTAGGCCATTCTTTTCAACGTCGCTGAGGACTAGTGTTCGGCTTTGTGATCCAGGCACTGGTGAGCTTGCAGGAATATTGCTTGACACTGGAGCAGCCTGAGAGTCGGCAATAATATCCTGTTGCGTTGGCTGAGTGTCTTGTGCGTCGAAACCTTCACATTGGGCTACATACTCCTCTTGTATACTTCGGCGTCGACCACTCGCAGGGACCTCCACGGCGGTAGGGGTTGACCCTAACGCTTGTGGCGATTGAGATGATGTTACTTGAGAGGATTCGCGCTCATGTTTGGTCGATCTCGGGTGCATGCTAGATGCAGTGGATATCGGCTTGACTTCTTTTGACAAACTCAGTCTACCGGATGAATTTGGTCTTCTTTCAATCAAAGGTGCCTCCTCGCGCATCCTCTTCTTCTCTCTCGCCACCTTCTGATATTTCTTAGGTAGTGCCTCGATGTCGGAATCCGATTCCGAGCCAGAATATACTTCGAGTTCATTCAATTTCCTCCTTCTCTCTTGCGACTCTTTCATGGATATATATGTATCCTGAAGTTCACGTACCAACAGAGGCTTTCGAATGGCGGAATTTAAAGATTGGGCTCTTGTAGAAAACAGAGCAGGACTTGCTGAAACAGGAGTCTCAGTAGACATTGACCGTAGAAGAGATCGCACATAATTTTGGGCGGCGTCACCAATAACTTCCGATCGTCGAACAAGTGGTGAAGCGTCCACATCCTGCGAGGAACGAAAGCCATTAAAAGCATCTGGTGATGGCCTAGAAGAAGTAGGGCTGCCACCTAATCGCCCGATCGAGGATGGTTGCGTTGCGCCAAAGAGCTCATGCTGCTTCATGACACTACCTTTATCAGAGAATGGGTTGACTGACGGAGCTGGAGTTTTAGGCTCGAAAGGATCTTCTGGCACAAGATCTCTCGTGGGGGCCGCAACAGGTGGGTCTTGAGACTCGAAATGACCTTCATCTGGCGCCGATGTTGACTGAAAGCCATCAAAATTTATGTGCCCTGTGTCGTTCTCCTCATATGTATGTGCAGTCGATCCTGTATTCATTGAAATCGGGTCCCCAGACACGCCATTTGAATGTTGCTCTGATAGAACTTCCCATTTAGTTGGAATTGGTGGGCTTGAGGAAAATTCGGGAATCCTTTCTTGAACATCCTCTCTCGACTTTTGCAAATCTAAAGCTTCGTAAAGGGAATCAGGATTCTCTTGAGTCAAAGACAGATTGCTCTTTTGAGTAAATTCCTCCCCTTCCATTGCTCTCAATTTAGCACGAGTGTGCTGGAAATTGCCGTTGGTATAGAATGGTCTCAGTTTTCTTCCATTGTACTTCCTAGTTGTGGGAAATGTACTGTTGTGACCATCGTTCGTGTGCTCTTGAGATGCAGGATCTGGAATTAATGGGTTCTTTTCGCGACTTAAGGAATATTTTTGCGCTTTCGCAGATTCTATCTCATCAAATGCATCCTCTGCTTGACTCTGGTGCTTGTCATCTCCTGCAGCTTCCCGATCATTATTGGTCGCGTTGACGTTAAAGTTGCTTGACGCGACGGGCGGAGATGTCATATCTTTGGCCGTTGCCGGTTTCTCCGCACTGCTCTATTGGTGAAAATAAAAATGTCAGTGCTGCCCATGCAAAATTTCCAATGCTGTGATTTGCTGATTGTGAAAGTGTTTGAAGGCGCCTTGCAGATCATGTGTAGCTTACCGAAATAATTGCTTCTTGCCATTCCCAACACTGCTGCGTGTCAAACTCTCGTGCACCTTCACCATTTAGAGCCGCATTCGCTGCCTTTTTCTTACTTTTAAACATGATGATATTTTCATGTTAAAGATCAATTGGATCCAGTAGTTATTGGTTGAGGGTGATGAAGTGTTTGAATTGACTTGAGTAGGGTAGAAGATGCTGTTCAACAAGATGTCATTGTCACATCGTGTCTTGTCATGGCAAAATGATAAAGCACGGAAGGGACTAAGTCTGACGCCAAAATGGCAGGTTAACACGTGATGGATCAAGCTCATTTTGGCTAGTAACACTTAGAACAAAGACTAAAATGCGGGGTTAGGTTAGGGTGGTGTTTGAGACCCGTACGGAGTACAAGCGGAGAACCCTGCAAGAATTCGAGTGGACCATAGCGGCCCATCCGAATCACGGGCAGTATTATATATGGCTGTTCTATTTTGTGGAGTTGTGGTAGGTATGTAGCTCTACCGATGGGCAAGCATATTTGCCGGCTGAGGCTAGGTAGATATATGGTGACCTTGCTTTATATCGTAAACATAATTCTTCCCTAGGACCCAAAACCTCCCAAGTGTTCCTAGTATTTGTATTTGATATGGAGCTAACTCCCTTCCCAGAGGCCATCATTGAGGGAGTATCATCTGTCTAAACTCATTTTCTTCAATAGACAGATGCTGCTTCCACGCAAAAAACTTTTGTTTATTGAAGGCGCGTCACGGTGTCGCCTTGTCGGCAGGGTTACGCTCTTGTGGCTCGAACCATGAAGAAGCACAGCATGTTTGGCTATTCAGAGCCTTTTTCAACATAGGCTCATTGCATCATGGTGGGTCCCTCATGTAGCAGATCTCTTCCAGTTGGAATGAAAGCCGAGAGATGTTACTCAACGCCCTGAGTTAAACCTGGTCTAGAGAGGAACAGCATTGTCGTTGTGCGGCCACACACAATTGACTTAAGCCTCGGGCGTAGTTTATAGAAGCCACAACGAATATGACTTAATGCCATTATCTTCACTTGATGGCTTGAGTGTTGATAATAGTCCGACGTTTCCGCATGTCTGCTCACGACACCGCATCGACAGGTCAAGTTCTTACCATCTTTGCCTTCTGCCAAATCAACCATCAACCCAGACATATGGTCTACAGAAGTCGCTAATATCACCCCAACATGTCAGAAAACACAAACATGGCGACCGTAACTAGCTCCACTACCGTCAAGGCTGGTACGGAGTGTTGCATCCAGAGCTTCTATCGGATGGATGATGCTTGAGGTCAATATACTTGGACGGACAAGAATCCAGATGATTTTGGAGTGGCTTCTGAGAATGAGATGACTGCGCGCTATGTAATTCTCGTACATAACAGAAATAGTTTCGATTCTCGCAAGACACTCGAAATAGAAAGTATCATCTTTCAAAGTCCGTTGCTCAAGAAAGCTTTGAACAAGATCTTGAAGGGATATCCCTGCATCACTCCATGTTTAAGAAGGCTTGTTCTTCAAGAGTCATGTCATGCTTTTGCTCTCGCTGGACAGAACTTGTCCACGCCATACAGGATGAAAATTATGAAAAGAAATTTCATTTGACCCTTCTACACGAAACCCTTCAAGCAAAGCTTGAAGCCATCATCGAATCTGCTCTTGGCTTAATACTTGGGATAGTTACTAGCTGAATTGCAGTCTTGCTACTGGACGAGTCCAATGTTCTTCTTGAGTCACGAACTTCAAACCAATTTGAGCGTAACAAGATTGTTTCGATCTCTCAACGAACGCTTGGATAATATGAAGGGATTATAATATTTATGACCACCAATCGTGTTAAGAACATCGACCCTGCTTTTCAATCACGCATTCAAGCATGGATTAAAAGGATTTGGAGAAGAATGCTAGAGAAGGCCTGGAAAAACTTTTTATCAAGAACGGAGGATCAAGAGAACCACCATCAAATCACTGATGCTGAATTTGACAAATTGGCGGATGCGAACATAAATGGAAGACAGATTAAGAATGTACTAAAGACAGCAAAGTTGCTCACCAGTTATAAGAATGGTCTTCTCAAGTTCGAACATGCTCGGACGGTTATAAGTGTAGAGGGGAACTGAAACAGAACTTATGGTATCTTCTGCCACGCACTAGCTTAGTTCTAGGAAGCAAAGCGGACAAGTGCCTCTTAGGCACTTTATCATGTTAACATCAATAATACAGGATAATACACGCTTGATGATTTGAATTTTTGGATGAAGCCGCAAAAACACAGCTCAAATTTGTTTGGTGGACAAAACAAATTCTCCTCTATTTAAATGTCTCGATATTTCAATCATAACGTGGTTTATCAGTATGTGCACTATATCAGCATGTGCACCACTTTTACCTCAATTATTATCTTTCCACTTCAATACGCGATTTATCAACAATCTATAATGCAATCGAATAATAAAGAAGCTCAAATACTCTTAGCTATCAAAGCTATTCGAAAAGATAAAAAAATTAAGCATTTGGAAGGCTGCAAAGCTATATAATATATCGTATACAACACTTATCCGCAGAATGAATGATTTAACCTCTTGTACAGAATTTCGATCAAAAAGCCATAATTTGACTGATTTGGAAAAGGAAGTACTTATTTAATATATACTCGATATGGACAAGAAAGGATTTAGTCCTCGAATAAATGATATGGAAGATATGGCGAATTATATACTCGAAATACAGAGTATAAAGAAGATTAGAAAGCTTTAGGCTCATCGCTTTGTGAAATAATATACAGAATTAAAGATATATTTTAATCGCGTTTATAAATTTCAAAAAGTTCTTTGCAAAGATTCAAAGTTTATTGAAAGATGATTTCGATTGATATCGAATATACAGATCAAATATAGTATTTTGGACTACGATTTCTATAACTTCGATAAGACAGGTTTTATAATAGGACAAATATTATCATATATAATAGTTACTAAAGTTGGTCGATATAGAAAAAGCAAAGCTATATAATCAAACAATCGGAAATGGGCTATAGCGATTATTTGTATTGATAGAGAAGGTTATAATTGTCACGATTCACCATTAGGATTGATGGTGTTACGATGGTAGCAAACTGATTAATTAGGAGAGCTTAGGCCTTGTGCAAACACGATCAGATTTCATCGAATTAGTATGTGATCTTGGTCACCTGAAGATCGTATGCGCTTGCACCATCAGAAATCACGTGATAAGGAGCCCTAGGAGCCCTCAAAGCTCCTAGAGCTCCAGGAGCCCTGAGGAGCCAGAAAGCTCCTAGGGTCTCCCTTTATCGTTCATTATATAGTCAGAGTAGTTTCATAGTTTAGGAGCTTCGTGCTCAACTTAGTTATCAATTAGTTTACCTACATTCTACTTGATCTAGTAACGAATTCACTGTTACGAGGTTTGCCGTCTAGATCACGTGGAAGTGCTCTAGGCTCTCGAGATGGTTTATAACTAGGTGTCAAGCAGGGATTTAAGTAATGACAATAATGATATACAATTCGTAACTAATAGTAGGATATATTAAATGATTGATCTCCTTCGATCAAGAGACCGAGGGGATCGAAGGGACCATGTGATTACATAATTGGTCACATGATACGAGATCCGAAGCCGTCGTAACACAAAGTTAGATTAATCCTATTTAATCCAGAAATTGTATTTTCAAAACTAGATATTCGAATAAGAGCTCTATCAAATAAATCAATATCAACCGATTCTAATATATAACAATCTCAAATACCTTATAATCCAATTAAAACTCTCTCTCAATCTATTTTAATGAAAAAATCATATTGCTCAACTGTTACGACGGCTTTCCGATCTCGCATCATGTGACCACATTATGTAAATCACATGGTCTCTTCGATCCTCTCTGTCTCTCTGATCGAAGGGGAAACGAGGGGAACTCATCGGGACCATCTGTCATGAAAGGGCTATATAAACCGACGACGGGTTTTCAATCGTTTAGCGGTGTCGTGCTCAAGATCAATCATTTAGTATACTCTACTATTAGTTACGAATTGCATTATTATCATTACTTTAAGTCCCTGCTTGACGCCTAGTTATAAACCATCTCGAGAGCCTAGAGCACTTCCACGTGATCTAGACGGCAAACCTCGTAACATGCACATACTGATAAACCACGTTATTGCTTGCATTCTGTTGCTGACATAATGTTGGATAAAGTCAATCAAGCAAACGTCCACTCACGTCAAGCCACATCCACATGACAAATATACGATCTTCACTTCCCACCTCACTACCAAACTTCGTATTCATTCTCTTATTATTCAAGCCATAATTAACTCAATTCTCGTATTTTCCTGTCAATCGCGAAGTATTAACGTAAAGTTGTACAGCAACGCTCAGCCCTAACGCTGATCCGTCTTGGCAGTGAGATGGAAGTAAGACCATGACGGCATCTTCCAGCAAAAATCGTCCAACTCAGTAATCCACCCGCATCATCTGAAGACTCTATTTCTCCACCTCATGTATAGTCACGCAATAGCGCGTGAGTGTTGTCAGACTATTTACAATTTTCTCGTGATGTGTTCAGCTCTGCTTGAACACGTGCTTGGCAGTTATGCTAGTATGTGGTGGAGAGTTGAGTTTGAATTTCTTCTATTCGTATTTCCTTCGTATTTGCTGATAGTTACACTGAATTCTAAACAGGTTACTCGAAGATGGCGGATGCAAGCGCTCGGATACCTGATCTGATGATTGACGGTACGAGTTCTAGCACACGTCCGTCGATGCCCATTAAGCTTATGATGTTTGCTTATTGATGGCACTAGTATCACTTTTAGTAGCACTTTGAGTAGCACTTTGTGAATTGTATACGATGTACGGGATAACATCACAGGCTAGAAGTTAGATGAATGGGATATAAGTCGTATGTCAACCTGATGTTTGAAGCTTTAGTTCAGCATCATCATCACAACATCAACACTTCAATCCATTATTCTCCACAGCAACTCAAGCAAAATGCAATTCTCAACACTCTTGAATCTTGGTCTAGCAGCCATCAGTGGTGTTGCTGCTGCTCCCACCGATCCCCCCAAAGTGGAGATTACATTCATCGGTGGACCAGCTAGTTACAACGTAACCTATCATGGAGGTACCCAACTTACCGGTTCGTCTCCCCCTACACGAACCATACGTAAAACTAACCACCACCAGAAAATGACCTCTCCGTCTCCCTAATCCGCTCCGCCAACTACAACGTCAACCAGTGCACGTTTTACTTCGTTAGTCCCGCTGCGACCGTCAATAATGGAGGCATCATTAGTGTAGGACCCCCAAGCCCTGTCGCAGCCTTCAATTGTCCATTTACCGATCAGAAATGCATTCCAAATTATGGTGAGTTTTCCTTCCTTTTCTCTAGGTGTGTTGAGAAAAGCCGCTCATGATTTTATTTTTAGGTGATTGCTTTTCTTCTGTCACTGGTCAATTCATCGGTTCCTGCTGTGATGGATTTTGTGCAGCGAATAAGTGTAGACCTTTCACTGGGGTTTAAGTATCTTAGATTATAAGTACTTAGGCTGGTAATACGGTGACGGAGCCCGTATTGGTATTCGACTGGGTGGAAATAAGGAAGGAATCAGACGAAGGTGCAAATCGAGAGAAGGCTAGGGAATATTAAGGGCTGGAGGAAGAAGGGATTTTAAGTGCTCAACATTTTACATTCCTTCAGAGTATGCGGAATTATGATATAGTTTCCGATAAATTTAATTTATATTCTTTTCTATCAATGATAACTTTAGTTTAGTCCTTAATATTGTGACATGGCCGACCAATAGATATGGGGCAAAGAGCTCCTGAAGATTGATGTTGATGGAAACCTTGTGGACGAAATTAATTCTGCGAATTATGAGAGTTTAAGATCTTACCTGTAGTTGGAGGTTTCGGGTAGTGAAAATTAAATGGACCTTTGCTAAACTCTTTTGAAAAGATTAGCTTTGGAGTGTCCCTTCAAAATAGTGATTAGTAATCAAAGAATACGGCATTGCTAGCGTAGCGGGGAAATATCAAACCAAGCGATCTTGGATAAAGCTAGTGAATTGCAACGAAAAAAACGCTAGGGTACTAGACAATTTTAGCGGAACCCATCCGAATAGCCTCAACAATTTAAAGAACCAATTTAATTAACATCGTGCTCTGTGTTAAGGTCACAACACCTCACGTTACACTACTTTTCCTCACCTCATCAAAATTTTACAATCATGGCCGATTCATCTAACTGGAGAGTTCGCGCACCAGTAGATTCTTCCTCCCAGCCAAAACAGACAAATTGATCCAATCGAGCACCTAGAGAAGATCGTCCTCAAAGACAACCGATCGTATCTCTTGCAGATAGAACTCGCGCTGATGATTTGAGAGTGCACAGACCAGAACGTCAGCTTGAGGAGTCGTCTGAAACACTGCAGACTATTGCAGAAGGTCGTCGTGTGTATCTTGGAAATTTGCTTTATACCACTACTCCGGATGATGTTAATGCGTTTCTTGCTAAGAATAATATTACTTCTGTTACAAATGTTCATGTTTCTATCGATCCTTTTACAGGGCGTTGTCCGGGATATTGTTTTGTCGAGTTTTCGGAAAAGAAATCGCGGACGATGCTATGGAAAGGCTAGAGGGGCTTTCGATGTTTGGTCGACCAGTTAAGTGTCGTCCTTGCCGACCCAAGGGTAATGTTCGTCATGGTGGCCCAGGTCAAGGGCCGCGGGATGAGAATAGTAATCCTAGTTATAATCGCTGGGGAAATTGAGGAGAATCAGGAGCTAGAGATACCCAACACGATAGACTTTCGGGACAAAGCGGACCTAATGATGCCATGAGACATTTCCAGCTTTCAAAAGCTCAAGAAGAAGATAGACAATTACATGTTGGTGGGTTGCCTAGGATGCTTGATCAATCGGAGAACGAATTGGAGATACGATCCATCTTTAAAGATTTTCGCAATGTAAGTTTTGCCCCTCGAGTAAATAAAATTAATATGGTCTAAAGCGCTTGTAGCGATGGAGTAAGCAAGAGGGTGAGCCCTCGTGATAAAAACCTGGATGATCGACGGCGAAACTTTTGCTTTGTTGATTTCACCACTCGTGAGGAAGCTCAAGCAGCTATGAAAGCTATCGATGGGACATTTTACAGAGATGCGCCGTTGAAAGTTTCAATGGCAATTCCAAAATCCGAAAGACAGAGAAATACTTATGGAAAGAGAGAGGAAAGAACGGACGGAAACTTTCGATAGGGATGAATGAGCGACTCTTATGAACGTTGCATTTAAGGATATATCTGACCACTCAAAATCAATCAATCATCGTTCCACGCGCCGTGAGATTTATTCCATATTGTAAGATTACGATTTGACTTAAATTTGCAGAAACATCGAATTTACATGGTCGGGAAAAATTATGGCATGCACAATGTTGAAAGCGAAAAGCATGAAGCCAATGAACCAAGAGTGATAAAAAAGAGATGTCAGCATTTTGAGCGAGCAATAACTGATTGGCACTGCTCAATGCGAGTAGCGAATTTATCTGCCTCACGACCATATCAGGTGCTTTGAATATTCGTAATCAGCCGCAATGATAGTATTGGCGTGGTGCAATTTTATCCGAGCTGAAAGGAGGATTAGAATCGTCTCCCAAATACTCGCCTCCTTCCTCATCACTCTCTTCCACTACCACCATCAGCCTAAAATGCAATTCCACAAGCTTCTAGCTGTAGTCTTTGGGCTAATTCCTAGTGCCATCACAAGCTCAAACTACTCAGCATGTCCCGATATCTCACCCGGTCCAGCTACACTTTCCAGCTGGCGGAACCTTTCCCCGTATCTCCGCTCACAGATCCAATCGCGGCAGAAAATATTCGTAACACTTTATTAGCACTTTACACTTTTGCAATTGATGGTTGTAACGTGAGCAAGCTGCTTTTCTCGAAATTCCACTCTAGAGCATACACTTGTATTTTTTACCATGAATGTCGTGACTTCACTGAAATCAAATATCTCCATTTTTCGCTCGTGCTTGCCATTGTTATGGTAGTTATCATCGTACGAATTACTAATATCCCAGTACTCAGTGGGCGGCCTTATCTCGAGTCTTCGCCCCAAACGCACGAGCAAACTACTCAGCAGCCATCGGGATCCTCTACGGCCCTGAAGAAATCGCCAACTATATCTCCACAACCCTTGCTTCCTTCGTACGAACACAACAAAGATACGGAACGCAATACATAACTATATATTCGCCAAGCAGCGCCATCTCCGTGACATATTTTTAGGCAAGTCGTTTTTCCCTGCCGGAGACAGCGCCCGTTGTCGAGGATGATAGTGGAATTTGGTTGTCATGGTAAGACTTAGGTTATTTTCGGGGTTGTGAATGGAGTGATGTTGATGCTTTGATTTAAGGTCCGTTGATTTTGAATGCAAAGTAGTGGTTTAACCATTGCGTATCAAGCACTCTCGTGACCAGAGTGATAGCTTTGGAAATAATGAGGCTTCTGAGCTCTCAGGAATTTGAACATGATATGCATCTGAAAATGTCACGCCATGAACCCTGGGAAACAATTTCGTTTCAAGTTTGTGACGAAGACCGAATTCGTAACTTATTTTCAAACCAAAAGAGAAATTGATTCCTTTTATGAAGTTGAGCGATTATGTGATGTCGGAGAGCATTATGGCGAGGGTCATGGATTATCAATATCGGAGACAAGTAGGTGGACGAGAAGCTGAATTCAGAATTAATGAATGATATTGGACATTTAAGACCAACTTTCTAAACTCGGAAAAACTGGAAGCATTTTTGTCGCTTCAACAACAATTTTCCTGAAGATCTGATGATGAATTCGACTTTTTGAAGAATTTGCAACGTTGTTAAATAATTAAAAACCATTATGTAACTCCGCGCTACTACCGGCAACTAATATAGCTTTCCCTTGAAGTCAATGACCTCATAATCCACCAGAGCCATGCATCCCCACTTCTACACACCTAACGTAAATAAAGATAAACAATAACCTCCAAGTCACCCCCCCTCTCCTACCGCCCTCACGATACAACCCCCAAAAGAATGACCCAATCCCTCATCCTGACCCTCCGCTTCGACCACGCCTACGAAAACCTCCTCACAACCCTCCGCACCCGCTACTTCCCCTCTCTCGCAACCACCTCTCCGCGCACATGAGTCTAGTACCATACTTTCGGACCACCCCTCTTTTGTGACGCCTCACACCTCCGGGTCACGTGGCATGCCCCGTTTGTATTTAATCATAGGAAAACTCTCTACTCTTGTTTTCCTTCTTCTTTTCTCCTTAGCTTAGTATTTTCTAATACAAGATACTTTACCCAGTATTCTTGAGTGTGACATCTTTTGGACCACTTTTTTCTATCAAAAATAATAAAAGTCAATATTTATAATCTTTTTATTCATTATTATAATCTTTTAAAAATTTAATTATGAATTTGTTCTTTATATAATAGTGAATCCGGAAAATTTCCGATTTTTCATGATTTTATTGATTGAGATATTAATGATTGAAATATTGATTTTCATTTTATATAAATTTAAAAAACTCAATAACACTACTATAATAACGAAAACACTAATACTACCAGACCTTCGCGAAGCCAATGAAAAAGTTTAATACCTATCCAATCTTACTACCCCTCCTATTTAACACCCTCCCTCTAAAATTCTGTTGCTTGACAAAAAATCTACTTTTTGAAATCAAGCCCCCATTTTCCTCAACATCCGTATCCAGCTCAAAATCAAATCTTCTCATCAGCTGCGGTATCAACTTGTTAATCTCCAACAAACTAATATTCTTCCCAATACACGTTCTTGATCCCATGCCAAATGAAAAGAAATACTTTTCGACTTCTCCACCTCGACCTTGTTCTTCAATTTCGAGCCATCTTTCTGGTCTCCATGTATCTGCATCTAAGCCCCATACTGACGTATTTAGATGGGCGACGTATGCATTGATGCCAACTGTCGAACCACCTGGTATGAATTGATTTGCGATGGTAGTACCTCCGGCTGGCACAACACGTTGTAGCCCCAGACCTACAGCAGGGTGGACTCGTAGTCCTTCTTTAATGACAGCTTGTAGATATGGTAGTCCATGGGCTTCTTTGAAAGTAACTGGGTCCGAAACCCTTCCCTCTTTGGCCGCCGTTTCAATTTCCTCTCTCAGCCTGTGATACGTCTCCGGATGCTTAAACAGATGATATAGCACACTCGAAAGAGTAATAGCCGTTGTATCACTCCCAGCACCAATATTCGCAAAACATGTATTGAACAAATCGGCTCTGGTAATCTTCTCCGGATCCTTTTCAGACGCCATCAATATCTTCGTCATGATATCTGGTGTACCCTCTCTCTCATTTTCTCCGCTTCTCGGATCCCTCAACAGTTTGATCTTTTCTGAGATACTACTCTCGGTAAAATCAACAAGATATGCAAGACCCCCAGTTTTAGGCATTATAGGAAGAAGAAATCCGTGGACCCAGCTCCAAATACCAGCAAATGTAGAATACGATGTTCCAGAATCAAGAGCCTTAAACACACCATCTTTGTCCTCTCCCATATCTAAAAGGCCAAAGCGTTTCCCAAATGTAATTTCTCCAATAACATCAAATGCATAGCATTGTAACCAATGGTGCAAATCTACGATATTTCCTGAATTTGCCAACTCGCCAAAACGTCTTGAGAGTAACTCGGTACAATTATCCACATATATTTCATATCCAACCAGTGAACTCATACTATAGTGATTAGCTACCTTGCGTCGTTGTGCAGAATGGCGATGCGGATTACGCTCCGTGAACAACGTTTCCGGTCCTGAATCTAGTGGCATCCATGCCCGATACCATGGGGCTTTTGGGAAGCTGCCTCCAGCCGTAGAGTAGATGACTCTAGCAGCTTGAACATCGTCGATTGAGTATTCATGGGGTGCGATGCGAACGATAGGACCATAGCGAGAGTGTAGCTGTTGGTTTGTACGGTAGAAAGAACCTTTGTATATCTCCCAAAAGTACCAGGCTCGGGTAAAGCGTGCGAGAAAAGGACCTGGAATATGGCGGAGAGGGTCGATTATTGCGAGGAAGATGATACTTAGCAAGTATATGGAGGCTGGGATGGAGATGAGTACCCATATCGGGAGGGAGACAATTAAATGGAACATTTTAATCTGTCTCTATGAAACTGATGAGAGGTGGAAAGTGAATAGATATTAAAGAGCAAGAAGATAGGATCCTATTTAAGGATGATTACAGGTTCCATGAAAGCAGAGTGAGACAAGATATCAAACTTAAAGATAATTTTACGCGGGGGAAAGTACCCAGTAAACTTGGAAGCCAACTCGCTATACCGGACATTTTGGTAAAATCTCATTTTTTTTGTCTGTAGATATATCGGACATTCCGGTATTTTGTTTATACCGAACAACAATTTTCTAGAGCCTCGCTATACCAGACATTCTTGGTATCTTAGAATCTCATTTTTTTTGTATGGTGTATAATGTCACACTCAAAAATACTGGGTAAAGTATCTTGTATTAGAAAATACTAAGCTAAGGAGAAAAGAAGAAGGAAAACAAGAGTAGAGATTGATTGATTGATTGATTGTGTTTATCGTCATAGGCCGTAGGCCCACGCGCCTTGGCGCGTGATAACCTTAGCCATCTATTCCAGTTTTGGACAAATGACGCTCAGAGGAGAAGCCTCTGAGTGGTTTACTAGCTAGCTAGGGGGAGTATTTTTATACAATTTAAAGGGGGCTAGGGCAGGGTTTACATGATTGCCTTCGCAGGGGGGGTTTGGGCCGGTAGGCCTTTTGGGGTTGTAATTGTGGTCATCCTCGTCCACTAGATCACTACCTCTTGATCTCTCTCCCTGTCTCCTCGTACTTGTTTAGATTGTTCGTATGCATACTTGTTTTTTTTTTTTTTTTTAATGAAAGAAAAGGGAAAGATGAAAGAGAGGAAAGAAGAGGGAGGAAAAGCACCCTTAGAGACCTATTAACTCCGTTTGAATCCAATGAAAGAAAGAAAGTTCTTTTTTTTTTTTTTTTTTATCTTGCACCTGTGTGCCACGGGCAGATTTTTGTGTAGAATTTGGTGTATTCTAGCCATTCGGCTAGTTTGGCTATACCGGTGGGATTGCTTAGAAGCCAGGGGATAGCTTCGGAGGGGGGGCTCTTTGTGAGCGCTTTGAAGGCTTTTCCTTTTTTGCAAAAGAAAAAGTGTAATGGAGTTTTCCTTTTACCACACGAGCAATGGACGTGGGCTATAGTGTGATTGAAGCGTTCATGGTATACTGCGAAGTCGCCATACTGTAATCTGATAGCGAGAATATAGTGGAGTGTAGCTCTCTTCAGAGAGAGGGTGTCTGTATTAGAAGTGTGGTTGAATTGGAGATCTTTGTAGTATTGTGGGCTGACTGTATTCCATAATTGTTCGTCTGCTTTGTTGGCCCTTGTTCTGATCATTCTTTTTAGGGATGCTAGCATACAGATCGGGTTGAGGGGAAAAGGAAGTTTTGTTCCTTCCTTAGCGGCTTTGTCAGCTATTTCGTTGCCAGGGATATCCAGGTGCCCTGGGACCCATCGGACGCGGATTTTCCCGGGGGAGGTGTGTGGGAGCCTTGGTCTAACAGCCCAAGCTTGTGTGAGCTTCAGAAAGTCTTCAAAGACTCTCTGTGAGGAACCATTGAAGTGGGATCCTAATCGGAGAGCAGCCTCGTGGTTGTCTAAGAAGATCCAGAGATCTGTGGCCAGTTTGGTTGATGCTAGAGTGAGGGCTTTTGCTGCCCCTGCTACTGCGGCTGTGGCTTCTGCATCGAACACTTCTGCATTTGTGCCTAATGAGAAAGAATGGTGTGCTATCTGAATATCGAATTGTGAGATTACGAATCCGCCCCCAGTTGCGCCATCCTTGCTTTCACTTTTTGAGCCATCCGAAAAGATTTGTATATCGCTTCTTGGGATCTTGGCGTGGAAGGCTTTGAAGTCTTCGGCTGCTTGTGCCTTCGTTCTGCCCATCGGACCATTGATGCGGGCCTCGGCCTCTGCCCTCGACTCTCTGATTTCCCAGGGTGGGAAGGCCAAGGGGTTTATGTGTTCAGTCTCCGGTAATGCTGTGATGAGCCTTGTGAATCTTGTATCTGGGGTGCGGTTATATTCTCTGGCTTTGGTTATGTTCTCTGCTCTGATCCTGAGAGGATGGTAAAGGTCTAGTCTGGTGGTTCGTGCCGCATATAATTGTGAAATCAGGTTTAGCTCGATCTCGGATGGTCTGAGTTTGGCTTCTTCGTAGAGTACTGCTGTGTTTGTGGTTTTGTATACTGGGAGGATTGCCCTTGTATAGATGATTACCACTTTGTTGAGTAAGCTTAAATGGCTGTCCACTACATTTGAGATCGAGATCGGGTTGTTTAGGGCATTCTTCTTTGTTCTGGTTCGGCTTGGCCACCACGTTTCCGAGGCGAAATAGCACTTTTTGAGTATGCAGGCTTCAGCCACTTTCCTGGTGAGATATGGGGGTATCCCTCGGTGTGTATTGCTGAGGGATCTCAGTGCGTTGGCTCCCTTGAGGGCTTTGGCTGCGAGGATCTGGACATGTGGTTTGAAGCATAGTTTCCTATCGAAGTGGACTCCGAGCCATTTGAGCGGGCCAGGTTTGACCTCTATATTCATAGATCCGGTGTGTATTGCAGGGGTATCCGTTAGTGTTCGGTGTCCTTTATAGAAGTGTATAAGCTCAGATTTCTTGGGGTCAAAAGTGATACCTTCGGTTTTTCCCCATTCGAGAGTTTCTTGTATATCCATTTTTAGAGAATCGCAGTTTGTCTGTAGTGAGTTTGATGTCGCTAGTATCGCGATATCGTCTGCATATCCGAATCTGCTCTGTGGTTTGCCCATCCAGAAGAGAAGCGCGATGTAGAGCATGAACAGGATCGGGGAGATCGGTGAACCTTGAGGAAGACCGCATTCTAGCTTTGTTTCCGGGCCAGTCTCGCCGTCTAGTCGGATCTTGATGGATCGATTAGTGGCGAAGGACTGAACCCATCTAACCAGGTTGTTTGGCCATCCTTGTTCCCGAAGGCGATTCACTAGTCTTCCTGGTAGCACTGCGTCAAAAGCACCTTTTACATCCATTGTGAGCAGGGTGGTCTTTAACCCTTGTTTTAAGGATGCCTCAATGTCGTGTGTAACGCAAGTGGTGAGGTCCACTGAGGATCGCAAGGGTAGGGCTCCGAGCTGCTGGTTCGCTAGGACTTGGTAGTTTAGAGCAAGCCATGATACCTTCTTCGCAATGAGTCTTTCGAGGCCTTTGCCTAGGACCGAGAGCAAGGCAATTGGTCGGTATGATCTTGGGTTGGTATAATCTGGCTTGTTGGGTTTAGGGATGATTACGATGGTAGCTAATCGGAAGCATTTTGGGTGGTGTCCTAGGTGTAGACAGCCTTTGAAAAGGGATAGGGTTACTTCTTTTATCTGTAGCCATGCGACTTGTAGGATTTTTGTTGGGATTTCGTCTGCGCCAGGTGCTGTGTTCCCTGCTTTTAGAATGGCCAGCTCTATATCTTGTATAGCTATATCAGGGAAGGTGATAGATCTGCTTGGGGTTGTAGGGGTATCGAACGGGATGTCGTCAATCTCGGCTAGGTTTGTCAGTAGGTTGTTGGCGAAGGTTTCCCTTTTCTCTTCGATAGTATTTGCAATGGTTTGTTTTGATAGATCTGCTAAAGGGGGGGTACGGTATATTCCTGTGGATTGATGCCATTTGGTCATTCGATATACATCGTTTATATCTTCTACTTTATCCACTTTCGTAATATAGAAGGTGTGTTTTGCTTTTCGGACTGTTTTCCGAAGAGAGCGTTTGGATGTAGGTGTATTGGTGATTCTATGTTTATACACAGCCTTTATACAGTCCTTGTTCCACCAAGGTTGTTGAAGGGGCTTGTTTATGGATCTTCTTGCAGATCCTGTATAGGCTTTTGTAAGGGCTTGTGTAAGGGATGATGCGGCTTGATCTAGGTCTCTTAGAGAGGGTGTCCTGGGGATAGCTGCAATGTTGGTGAGATTAGTTTCTAGTAGGTCTTTAAAGAGCGTTTCATTCAATGTATTTAGCTTGAGTTTCTTTGCAGGCTTTTGGCTTCGGTAATTCCAGTGAAGGTAGGTTTTTAGGGTGCTGTGATCTGAGGTGCACTCTAGTTGTTCAGCGAGGGCGGTATACGCTGTATAGGGCCCTAAGAGGAAGGTGAGGTCCAAGACGTTTCCCTTTGAGTGAGTAGGAGTTCCGATTGGGGAGATGAGGTGTAGATGCCGGGAGTTTGACCATTCTACAAAGGGTTCGGCTAGCGTTGAAGGGGATGGATGGAGGGGATTCCAGTTGGGGTGGTGGAGGTTGAAGTCGCCTAGTAGGATGGCGTTGTTTGGGAAGTTTTGGAGTTCAAAGAGTGCCTTGATGGCTTGATTGCCATCTGTGCATTGTGTTGGAGCGTTGTAAATATTTATAATGGTAAATATTGTATTATTTGTAGATATTAATTGTATAAATATTAGATCTCTGGAGATTATCGGTCTGATCTGGTTGATCTGAATTCCTATTTCTTTTCTGATATAGGTAAGGACACGAGGGTTTTCCTTCCAATCGTCTAATGGAGTGAAGATTTCGTAGGAGGGGTGAGTTTTGGTGATTTTTCTTGAGGTATCTTTGTATATATATGGCTCCTGGATCGTGATGATATCAATTTGATCCATATTTGCTAGATTGAGGACGAGATCGTATGAGATCCCTCCTTTACCTACATTGGTTTGGGTTATCGTAAGCGGTTTATAGTTCATTAAACGGGATAGGGGTTGGGTTGGCGATTGTTGCAAATCGATTAGCGGAGCGGGTGCTGAAGAGGGTTGTGGAGTGAGTGGAGCCGAATAGGCGGGTGGGGGTTCTTGGCCTAAGTTGGTCCGAGGGGGAGGGAGGGGTAGGGGAGTCGGCCATTTGTGCATCGGATGATGGCTTTGAGCATCCAGCCTTTACACAAACAGAGTTTCTGTTTTCGAGGTATATCTTCCGGATTGTCTGGCGTTCTGATTTTGATTTCCTTTCTCTCCCTTGTGGGCGAAGGGGGCATTTGGGGTCATCTACGGGGTGGGGGCCGTTGCAGTGAAGGCATTTGGGTGGGCATACGTGTTCAGTACCACAACTGGTAGTATGATTGCTCTCTGTATGCTTTCCCGAACCCGCATAGGCGGCAGATTTGTGATTTGAGGCATGTTCTTGCGTTGTGCCATTGAAAGCAACGATTGCATTGAGTGATCTTTGGGTTTTGTACTAGGAGGGGATGTGCTGATGTTGGCCTCCTAAAATCTTCAGGTTCTTTTTGAGTGGTTCTGCTCCTGGTCTTGGAACTTATTATCCATGTTGAGTAATACTCATTA